ATACACATTGAGCTGTGATGTGAATGAACGACAACATTTCTCTGTAACATCTGTGTGTTTCCTGTTTCCTGCAGACGTCCAGCAGCTGTTGGTGGTTAAAGAAGAGGTTTCCCCTGAGCAGCAGGAGTGGAGCTCCAGTGTGGACCAGGAGGACCCAGAGCCTCCACACATTAAAGAGGACCAGGAGGACCCAGAGCCTCCACACATTAAAGAGGACCAGGAGGACCCAGAGCCTCCACACATTAAAGAGGAGCAGGAAGAACTCTGGTTCAGTCAGGAGGGAGAGCAGCTTCAAGGGCTGGAGGAGGATGAGAAGTTCCCTTTCACTCCTGTCCCTGTGAAGAGTGAAGATGATGAAGAGAAACCTCAGTCCTCACAGCTTCATCAAGGACTCACTGAGCAGATGGGAACAGAGGCTGATGGAGAGGACTGTGGAGGACCAGAACCAGCCAGGAACTCAGATCCAGATATACATTTACAACCTGAGACTGATGACAGTGATGATTGGACAGAAACTAGAGAACCTCAGTCAGGTTTAAACTCTCTGAAAAATGATGAAGTCCCTGTTTGTAACTGGAGATGGAGTGCTGGTGAGAAACCATTCAGCTGCTCTGAGTGTGGGAAAAGATTCGGCTCAGGGCAACATCTGAAGAAACACATGATGACTCATACAGGAGAGAGACCTTACAGCTGCTTTGTTTGTAACAAATATTTTACACATGGTGGAAACTTACAGACACACATGATAATCCACACAGGAGAGAAACCATACAGCTGCACTGTTTGTGAGCAGAGATTCTCTTGGCCTACACAGCTCATAAACCATCAGTGTGCTGGGTGTCAGTCCTCACAGCCTCATCAAACTCAAACTGAGGAGAACGAAGAGGAAGAGCCTCCAGCCAGCAGCTCAGCTCAACAGATGGAAACAGAATCTGACGGAGCAGAACCAGCTAGGAACTCAGATCCAGATACATACCTACAACCTGAGACTTTTGACAAGTATGAAGACTGCTCTGAACCTGAGACTGATGTCAGTGATGATTGGACAGAGACCAGAGAATATCAGTCAGGTTTAAACTCTCTGAAAAATGATGAAGTCCCTGTTAGTGATTTTAAATGTAGTGCTGGTGAGAAACCATTTATCTGCTCAAAGTGTGGGAAAAGATTTGACCGCAAGACACTTCTGAAGAGACACATGACAACGCATACAGGAGAAAAACGTTTTAGCTGCTCAGTTTGTGAGAAATCATTTAGACAGAGTGGACATTTACACACACACATGAAAACCCACACAGGAGAGAAACCATTTAGCTGCTCCGATTGTGGAAAAAGATTCGGCCGCAAGACAATTCTGAAGCAACACATGAGATCTCATAGAGGAGAGAAACCTTTCAGCTGCTCCATTTGTAAGAACTCTTTCACACAGAGTGGACATTTACAGAAACACATGACGATCCACACAGGAAACAAACCTTTTAACTGCTCTGAGTGTGGAAAAATATTTGGCACCAAGACAGATCTGAAAAGACACATGAGAACTCATACAGGAGAAAAACCATTTGACTGTTCAGTGTGTGGTAGAACCTTCTCTCACAAGCAAACCTTAGTCCGCCACATGAGAACACACACAGGAGAGAAACCTTTTAGCTGCTCAGTTTGTAACAATGTTTTTACAGAGAGAGGAAATTTACAGACACAAATGTTAATCCAAACGGGAGAGAAACCTGTCAGCTGCTCAGTGTGTGTTAAAAGATTCTCTCACAAGCAAACTTTAGTCCGTCATTTAAGAATCCACACCGGAGAGAAACCTTTCAGTTGCAGTGTTTGTGAACAAAAATTCTCTTGGCCTACACAGCTCAAAAACCATCAGTGTGTTGGGTGTCAGTCCTCACAGCCTCATCACAGTCAAACTGAGGAGAACAGAGAGGCAGAGCCTCCAGCCAGCAGCTCAGCTCAACAGATGGAAACAGACTCTGATGGAGAGGACTGTGGAGGACCAGAACCAGCCAGGAACTCAGATCCAGATACACATTTACAACCTGAGACTGATGACAAGACTGGATCAGGTTCCTGTTATGATCCTGAGACTGAACAGTAATGATTGGAAAGAGACCAGAGGAACTCAGTCAGGATGAAACTCTGAAAATGAAGGCCATGTCAGTGGGTCTGCTCCATTTTCAATGCGCCGATGCACCACTTAACATGTAACGGCGCGGGCCAGGAAAGCTGTCAAAAAGGAGTGTAATCTGTCAGTCTGAATGACATTCATCAGTCATTGGTCTTCAGTCTCCCTTGACTTGTTTGTGTTTGTACGGGCCATTTGGTCGTGGTGACATAAATGCCGATCTTGCCACTGAAATTCAGCAGCGGATCCAGCTGATCTGCCGGCTATGAGAACTGTCAGATGGTGTGCAGTCTCCGCTACTTGGTCCACCCAAAAGCATAGTGCCTAGTGACCCACCGATTCGGGATGCATTGCTGGTGAGAAACCATTTAGTTGCTCTGAGTGCAGTAAAATATCTATTCATAGTGGGAATCTGAAGACACACGTGATCACTCATACAGGAGAGAAACCATTTATGTGCTCTGACTGTGGGAAAAGATTCAGCTTCGGGCAGCATCTGAAGAGACACATTACACTTCACACAAGAGAAGAATGTTCCTGTTTGCTCAGTTCGTAGAAATCTTTAACACAAGGTCTGCACCATTACTGCGCCTGTGTCATGAACCATTTTCTTTGTTTTCTCACTCCACCAGACTGTGCTCTTGGTTTAAAGATAGAGGCCGAAGGAATGGCAGTGAAATGTGCTTTCAAACCTTTGTTGAACAGACAGTGCTATCTAGTGGCTTCAGAAAATGAAGACAGTGGCTCATGAGGCTTCATTTGGCCATCACTGGCTGGCAGATCCAATGGACCGGCCATAAAATTTCAGTGGCAAGACCAGTGTTTACGTCAACAGGACAACATGGACTGTTGATAAGACAGCGAACTGATAAATGTCTTTCAGGCTTACATAGAATCACATCGTAAACATAATTGTCCATGTGGGCAATCATTTGTCTCGCGAGCTCTAGATAAAGCCCAGCTGGATACTACTCCAGGTGGAGGTGTCTCATTCTCAGTCACATCCAGACCTTGAAAATAAGGCTGCAACCGGTCCCATTCCTTGCAACAGAGGCATTCCTCTTCTGTGGGCACTGGGGCACAGCATTCGCAGGTACACCACCAATCTCCAGAGCTACGCAGCCTCGCAGCAGCCATTCCTCCTCTCTCGTCCTCTACCTGTTGCGCCTCTCTCTCTCTCCTCCTCCGTTCAGGCTACTGTCCGGTTCTGCCTTCCCGCTGTTGCTGCTTGTTTAGGCACGATTACAATCATCAGCGATTAATAAAATATATCTTCTTCTCCTTTTCACATTATTCACATTCATACAGCATATCATTAACTCTGCAGTAAGTTTAGCTTCTTTGAAGTTTAAACTTTAAAGTTGGTTCCAGCAGGGACCCAACTTTTTAGGTTCTGAACCAATTTATATTTGATTCATAAGTAGGTGCAGAAACCAGAACCGAACCAGCTCTATGTCGTCAGAAAATGTGCATTAGAGTGAATTTTGTGTATTCAATGTTATTGACATACTTTTGGTGATGTCAGAGTCAAAGTGAACTTTATTGTCATTCAGAAGCAATTGCACAGTAGAATGAAATTGCGTTTCTCCACACTCCAATGTGCTGGTTTGTTAAAACAAAACAACATTGAACATAAAAAGTAGTGCACACAGACAGCAACAAGTTCACCTAAACACAACATAGACAGACAGTAGGCATTACTACATACACACAGACATGTAGATAGACACTGACAGACAAAGTATTGCACTTAAAAAAGGTTTCTCACAGTGTGCCAGGGATGTAAACAGTGATGAGGCATGTAACAAAGGTAAAGTGCAAAGTGCAAGAACATCAGCATAGAACTATGTTGTGAGTAAGTGTGTAGACATCCAGTGTAATAGTGTAGTTATATTGAGAATGTTGATGCTGCACATATGCTTTAAGTGACAGTTAAGATTTATTGATATCAAGTCACTGAGGGATAAAATACAACTCAACTCAGCTGAAGTGCGTTATGGTTGAATTTTTTTCACCCACACACCTGAAACAAGAGTCTGTCTCTCAGAGGCGTGCAGATGCTTTCTTGCTGTGTTTGTCCTTATATTTCATCATGTGTATATGAAAATGAGTCATTTGGTGACACAGGTAAAACACTGACATGTCCACAGGCCATGAGTGGTGAGTTTAAAAGTGAGGGGAAGAGCCCCCTGACAATCAGACGGAGGAGCAATGAGAGACCAGAAGACATCTTTGGTGAGCTTCTTCATCTCTGTATGTTTTAGGGTATCAGAACAGGGCAGCAGTCTGAGGTCTTTGGAGTAGACAGCTGAGTTACAGTGAGATTCTGGAGCTGATGTGTGGCTGCTTGGGCTGGGCACCTGCTGTATATAGCAATCTGTCCTCTATGTCCGGGGAAAGGTTGCTGTTTATGAAAGTGGCTTGTCATTTCACAGCTGGTTGGGTGAATGGTAAAGACTTAAGTCTGACAGGCTCATAGTTAATGCAAGGCTGTACACAGTAAGACGTGAATACAAGAAATTATATTTGATCCGAAATCTGAAATTGATCTGAGGCATGGTGTGATGTGATCACATTTCCTTTTTCTAAACTTTTTTCGGGAGTTATGTGCCAAACAAGACATGATGTGTTAATTAGTGAGATATAAGGTGCTTGAATTTCCCTAAATATCTTTTAGTCTTTAACAAGGACATTGTTTTCCAGGAGTCAGAGATATGTACACTATAACATGTATAGTGTTTGATGTGGCTATGTTTTCATGATGTGCCTTAGTGGCAGTTCCCTCACACTAAACAACACGGGTCCAAGCATTGAACCCTGGGGGCCTCCACATACTGTATCAACCTTAATGTAGGTACAATTCCCAAGAAGCACAGACAAATAATGGTCCTTTGGTTAAGATGCAAACCAATTTAGAACTGAGACACAATTCTCAAATGTTTGAATGTCATCAACGATGTTGAACTGACAACTAATTAACACATTAAATATTGTTTGTTTAATTCACAGAAGACCCCAATTGTGAAAACAACATATTGTTCTTTTTATGGGGAGTTATGTGCCAGACTATTTCCTGATGTCTTTCTCTCATCATGAGCAGAGACTCAAGGAAGTGACTTTGTCAAGAATTAGTGAGGCAAATATTCACACTTTGAACTTCACCTTTACAGGTGATATTTCTACCATGGATCACTGAGAGTTATTCAGGCCTGAGCCATGCGTCTAGCTGTTGGTGTGCATCCCGGACACTGTGACAGCCTGCGGTAACTATCATACATCACCATCACCAACACATTATTGAACTAAAACTCAAGAAACTTGTTCCTTAAAGGATGTGTGTTCCATAGATGTCTGTGAAAAATATCCTGACAAGCCATGTGGTGGAGGATGGAGCCGCACTGATGCACAGTGCTGTGCCAAATTCTTCGACGTGTACAAAAATTACTTGGATGCAAAGGTGATGCAAACACACACACACACAAGCTGGGTGTGAACACCCGTTAAACACCAGCAGAACTCCATTGAACTTCACACGGAGTCACACCACCATTTTCTTCATTTTCTGATCCCACTAGGTTGCACTCTCGGAAAAAGCTTAAGAATTTGGAATCCAGTATACTTTGAACCCTTTGTTGAACAGAGAGCGCCATCTAGTGGGCCCAGAAAATAAAGAAAATGGCTCATGAGGCATCTTTGGCCATCACGGCTGTCGCTTCTTCTACAGGAACTCAGCACACACAGGCATCAGCAGAAAAAAAAGATAGTAAATGTATCCTCATCTTGTGCATACAGTTATGATAAAGTGCTGGTGAAGACTCTCACTTCTCACCTTTCTGTTGAATTCAGAACTACTGCGTCAGACAAGAAGGGGGTCATCTGGTTTCAATCCACAATGAGGCTGAGATGATGAACGTGCCTTGTATATCTGCACGTGCCATGGGTGGTGTTCGCCATAAGTTTTGGATTGGAGCCCAGGTAGTGGGGGCACATCGCAGATTTGGCTGGCTTAGTAAACTCACTGATGGATGATTTGGAGGAAACACTCTGATGCATGATACATAGAGGAGTATGTGTGTCAGATGTCATTACTGATCCCCACCTTTGTGTTTATCAGAATGATGGATCTGAGTTCAAGTACACTAGATGGCATCGTGGTGAGCCGAGCAACTATCATGGACGGGAGCACTGCGTCGAGTCGAACTATAAAAGTAAGGAAAAATAGAGGAGAAAGAAAGATTGTAGTTTTAAGAACGGGTGGATGCCAGAGATTTACTTCTGATTATGAAAAAGTCGTATGAGTGAATCTGAAGAACATTGGGCCTCATGCAAGAACCAGTCGCATCAGCAGATTTCTGTGTAAACAGTACTTAAGAGGAGTTGTTGCGTCAAGCAGTTTCTGTTGAGATTTTTGTTGTAATTATGAACAGGTGATCAATATTTTTAAATTAACAATAGATGACATGACTACTTGCTCTGAGAGCTGCATCAGGGTCTTTATGCAGGTCACTGTCCAGGTGAGATCATCGGCTCATCATCAAACATCACCTGTAATGTAAAGGATTATACCGTCTATTTATGTTTCTCATGTTGATTTGACAATGTCCTGTCTGATTCTATATCAGTCAGTTTTTACTATTCTGTGACATTTTAGGGATTGAATCTCGCTCAAAGAGTGGAACATGTAGCTTTATATAGCAGTTTAGGGGCGTTGACTATGTTAATGATAGTCTATCATGAACGTGTACCTACTCCTGAACAGGTGGCCTTCATCCAGTTGAAACAAAAACTTGAAGACAGAAATTTCCTGCATGAAGCTCAAAGCAGAAAATGTGCCAAAATCTCTAAAGTTAGAAGATGATTCTGTCTGAATGCTGACATTATGTTTAATAAACCACTGAATGTGATGTTTCTTGTTGTGTTTTCCAGACTGGGGCTAACTGGAATGATGCACGCTGCCAAGAATGGGAATACTTTATGTGCGCCAAGAAAATGTGATCATCAGCTGATTTCACATTTTCAGTCAGTGTCGACATCGACGGCTGATCAGCTGTGCTGCAGTTGGACCAGTCTGTTTCATGTAAACACTGCCAACACAAGCTTTTAAATTTACTGCAGTAAACGCTTCAGCATTCATGTTCCTGTGTCTCGTTTTATTAGTCTTTCAGTGATGCGAAGAAATCTACGTATGACTACTAGGACTACATATGATAACAACTAAAAGATCCTGAATTAGGTGTCTTTAATCAATAACCTTTAAAATCAGTCTAGGCATAGAACACATTGAAGTTCATTTCTTTCATACATTCCTCTGTTCATCATTTGTCTTATCCTCTAGCCCAGATTTAGAGAATCAAGCAAAATATATAATACTTGATGAGATGGCCCATTTCCCAGAATGCATTGCTGCATTTATTTGTGCTTTTTTTTTTTGCTTATTAGCTACTTAAGTTCTGAAGGTTGTGTAGACTTGGAATGAAGTCCTGCTCCCATATTATCCATGATATCACATCCAATGGTAACAGCCCTCATCGCCCCCGACCACAGGTAGTGAGAATAATGAACATCCTGAATGTGTTTTCCTGAATAACTCCCTCGGACGTGGGCGTAGAGACTCAGAACCGAGTGCTACTGCCATGTTATTCATAGCTCTGCAGAACTATGACTATGTGATGGCCAAATGAGGCCATGTGAATCACTGTCTCTATTTTCTGAAGCCACCAGATGGCACTATCTGTTCCACAAAGGTTTAAAAGCACATTCAATTTGCCAGTCCTTCAGCCTTTATCTTTAAACCAAGAGCACCATATGGTGGGGTCAGAAAATAAAGAAAGTGGTTCATGAGGCTTCATTTGGCCATCACTACCTCCGATCACAGGAGGTGGGAGTGATGGGCTTTTTTTTTCTTTTTTTTTAAAAATGAAATCGGGATTGTCAATAGAGAAAACATACAAATAAACAAGTCATTAATACAGAGAAAACAACATCAGAGCCAAGGGTAATCATTAAAGAAAACATTAAACAAGGAGCACAAATAAATGATTTTTGCTCCTTTATTTTTCTGAATGTGCTGTTTAGTTTTATTTAAAAATGTTAAAAATAACGGTTTTAAAGGGCTTAATTTAGATTTATAAGTGATACTTTGCGAGAATGATCATGGACGTAATGTATGTAATTCTTTAAGTTCTATATTATTGCTATAGTAGATGCCAAACAGTACATTCTCCCAGTAAAGGCAAAGCCCTGAGTCAGTGTTATCAACACCACACCGGTACACAACTTTCTAAACTTGGTTAGTGTAGGGACAGATGCAGCATTGTTTCTGGAAACATCTCACAAAATGAACAGTAAACAGAGTTAGATTAAACAGTAATATGTCTTAATTTAATCTAAGACAATGGCTTTCAGGATAATATTGATGAGGAGATATTGGTATGGAAGATTACAAATATTGTTCCAATTCAAATTATCAACAAATCTAAACCAAGAGGAGATGGCAGACAGTTGTATCTTGGGAACGATAAATTCGGTGTGTGTGTGTGTGTGTGTGTGACCACGCGTTAAGTTTGGCCAGTGCGGGGTGAGGCATTTCATTTCGTGACACCTCCATGACATCTGAGCAATGGATTACCTGAGGACGGCTCAGATTGTGCTTGCAAGCTTCAGAAACACAAACGTATTTGGACCTTGTGTTGAGAAATGTTTTGAAGCTTTTGATTCAAAGTTCAAGAATGAATCTTTAAGGTGTGTTTGGTTGTGTCTGAATCATTTGTCTTCCTGAGTTTGTTTTTCTGAGTTAACCTCTAATTTCAGGATCACTTCTGTAGTTTTATTTTGAAGCGCCATTAATTATCTGACCCGGAAGTTGTATTCTTTACTGTGGCTACCTTCACACTGTTTGAACAAGATGGCGTCCAGCAGAACCAGGTGTTAGCAGAGTGTCTTTGTTGTGTTTTTAAAGTGTGAACATGTCTAAAGTCCAAATGCTGAGATCGTTGGTGAAGCAGCGACTAACTGCGGCTGCTGAAGAGATTTTTGGGCTGTTTGAAAGAACGATAGCAGAGTACGAGGAGGAACTTTGTCGATCAAAAGAGGAGAACGAGCGACAACGGAAACTACTGGACGCTGTTTTCAACCCTCAACCTCAGTTAAACGAAGGAGGTTTGTTTCATAAACATCTCAAGTTCATTATTAATAATATAACTGCAGCTTTGTTCAATAAATATTCAGTCTGTCGACGTTTAAAGCCACGTTAGCTTCTGTGGTGTCGTTAGCTTCTGTGGTGGTGTTAGCTTCTCTGGTGTCGTTAGCTTCTCTGGTGCCGTTAGCTTCTGTGGTGCCGTTAGCTTCTCTGGTGTCGTTAGCTTCTGTGGTGCCGTTAGCTTCTCTGGTGTCGTTAGCTTCTGTGGTGCCGTTAGCTTCTCAGGAGTTGTTAGCTACTCTGGAGTCGTTAGCTTTTCAGGTGTTGTTAGCTTCTGTGGTGTTTTTAGCTTCTCAGGTGTCGTTAGCTTCTGTGGTGCCGTTAGCTTCTCAGGAGTTGTTAGCTACTCTGGAGTCGTTAGCTTCTGTAGTGTTTTTAGCTTCTCTGGTGTTTTTTAGTTTAGGAAGCACTGAATTTGATATACAGCTGAGTGAACACTGTGAAGCTGTTTGATGCTCAGAGATCTGTAGAAGTTCAGTAAGGAGTTTTTGAGCTGTGATGTGAATGAACGACAACATTTCTCTGTAACATCTGTGTGTTTCCTGTTTCCTGCAGACGTCCAGCAGCTGTTGGTGGTTAAAGAAGAGGTTCCCCCTGAGCAGCAGGAGTGGAGCTCCAGTGTGGACCAGGAGGACCCAGAGCCTCCACACATTAAAGAGGACCAGGAGGACCCAGAGCCTCCACACATTAAAGAGGAACAGGAGGAACTCTGGATCAGTCAGGAGGGAGAGCAGCTTCAAGGGCTGGAGGAGGATGATATCACCAAGTTCACATCCACTCCTGTCCCTGTGAAGAGTGAAGATGATGAAGAGAAACCTCAGTCCTCACAGTTTCATCAAAGACACACTGAACAGGTGGAAACTGGAGCTGATGGAGAGGACTGTGGAGGACCAGAACCAGCCGGGAACTCAGATCCAGATACACATTTACAGCCTGAGACTGTTGACAAGACTGGAGAGTTTTCTGAGCCTGAGACTGATGACAGTAATTATGACTGGAAGGAGACCAGAGAATATCAGTCAGGTTTAAACGCTTTGAAAAATGATGAAGACCCTGTCAGTGATTGGAGGTGTAGTGCTGGTGAGAAATCATTCAGCTGTGCTGAGTGTGGGAAAAGATTGAGCTCAGGGCAACATCTGAAGAGACACATGATGACTCATACAGGAGAGAGACCGTTCAGCTGCCCAGTTTGTAAGAAATCTTTTACACATCGTGGAAATTTACAGACACACATGAGAACTCATACAGGAGAGAAACCTTTCAGCTGCCCCGTTTGTAAGAAATCGTTTATAGAGAGTGGGTATTTACAGAAACATATGATAATCCACACAGGAGAGCAACCTTTCAGCTGCTCTGAGTGTGGGAAAAGATTCCTTCGCAAGCAAACCTTAGTTCACCACATGAGAACCCACACAGGAGAGAAACCTTTCAGATGCCCTGAGTGTGGGAAAAGATTCAGCCTAAGGCAACATCTAAAGAGACACATGATGACTCATACAGGAGAGAAACCGTTCAGCTGCTCAGTTTGTGAAAAACCTTTTACAGAGCGTGGAAATTTACAGAAACACATGAGAACTCATTCAGCAGCGAAACCTTTCAGCTGCCCCGTTTGTAAGAAATCTTTTACAGAGAGTGGAAACTTACAGACACACATGATAATCCACACAGGAGAGAAACTTTTCAGCTGCAATGTTTGTGAGCAGAGATTCTCTTGGCCTACACAGTTCAGAAACCATCAGTGTGTTGGGTGTCAGTCCTCACAGCCTCATCACAGTCAGACTGAGGAGAACAGAGAGGCAGAGCCTCCAGCCAGCAGCTCAGCTCAACAGATGGAAACAGACTCTGATGGAGAGGACTGTGGAGGACCAGAACCAGCCAGGAACTCAGATCCAGNCAGACTCTGATGGAGAGGACTGTGGAGGACCAGAACCAGCCAGGAACTCAGATCCAGATACACATTTACAACCTGAGACTGATGACAAGACTGGAGAGTCTTCTGAGACTGATGACTGATGATGACTGGAAGGAGACCAGAGAATCTCAGTCTTGTTGAAACTCTGGAAGTCTCTGTATTACATATGACACTTATTACTAACGAAAAGTAGTTAGATGTTTTGAGTGTGCTAAAAGATTTGGCTGCTGGAGTCTGAAGAGACACAAGGATTCATACATTATACTCTTCTTCCCAAGAGCCAACGCTGGGGGGTGGGGGGGGGGTTACCACGATGCCATCTAGGGCATCTAATCTACACATCCCGCCTTGAGTATATCCAATCAGCACCAAGTAATCCCCAAGCCCCAGCCAGGAGTCTTTCAGGGCCGTTCTGAGTACCTACCCCGAGGTAGGTCCTTGTTTAGCCCCAGTAAAAGTTCCGGAACTCTGTCCTTCTGAGGTGGTTCCTGCGGTGGAGACACGCACCAACGGCCCAGCCCTGTAAAATTACCCCAAAGTTCCTGCGGTGGAAACGGGCCTAATATTGTAATGGTAAATAAGTCATGGTACAATCTTGCGATTTAAAAGGCGTTGCGATATGCTGAGTACTGCAGTAAAATCTATTGCCATTTATTACCTTTTTTCAGCTGCAAATTATGTCCCCAGAGGAAAACTTTGTCAACATCAACAGTTTTATCGAATAAAATCATGTAGTTCGTCTGTTCATCTTCCCTCAGTCTTTTTTTTTTGCAGCAGCAGCTGTAGCAAAATGTATTCAGTACCTGAAAAAGCATCTGCTTATATTATTCTAGTATGCTGTAGTATGCTAATCTGTATTTGTAATGTTAATTTATATAATAAAAGAATGACACGTGGTGTCAAAAATATCACGAAACTATGCTGCAGTATTTATTCTGGGGTTCTATGAGTGGAAACATACAGAGGTCAGATTGATTGAGTTTTCAAAATAAAGCCAAGTACTGTTGTTTTTACATGATGTAATACTTCTAATGACATTTAAGTGACATCAGATTAATTTTCCGTTATTTGGGGGCCAAACAAGGCACACAAGTGTACCTAAAAAGGCCAATTTCAAGATTTCGCCCAAGATTTTCTTTCATCCTGTTGAATTTGTCTTCTGATTAAATCGGAACCATTGAAACAAGTTGTAGGAAGCCTCTGCAAGTAACTGGTTGGTGGCAGACACTCTGTGCTGCAATGAAATGGTTAATCAGCAGTGCCGTGCACTGTAGAGCCGATGCGCTGCTGGTTCTGCCGGCCTGAATAGAATATAATGTCTATAGCCTTACTTTTGTGTACAGCCTTTATAGACTGAGCTGAGTAGTGATGTGCGGGTCGACCCGTAACCCGCGGGACCCGCAAATGGACCTGCGGGTTGGGCGGCAGTGATCGTCTGTTAAATCAGTCTGTAAATGATATTTTGACATTATTGGCTATTACTGTCATGGCATCCGAAGGTACTGATGCGTTGAGCAGGTGACAGTCCGCGGTCGTTTTCAAAACACACTTGTGTCACGCACTCCAAAAGAAACTTGTTGAAACTTTAAACAATAATTTATTGTACAAAACGGGGGAAACAAATGTTGACAAAAACGGTTCCATAATTCATATTAAATTCAAAAGATAACGAAAAAACAGCTACAAGTTAGAGGGAATAGTGATAAAGTGGTAAAACTTGACATTGATCCACAGCCTCAGACGGATGCGCTCAAGCCTGCCGTGCACAAACTTAGCAGGCTATACTATATTTTCACATTTTTAACAATGCAATTTAAAAGTTTTGATTTTTGTTGATAACCTACATTTACCAACAACAAAAAGACTACATTTAGCACCAAAAAAATTAATAAAGAATACCAAATTTTCATAACGAATACCTACCCATAGAAACGAATATTTGAATATCCAATTATTTGGGTGCAGCCCTACTTCTTACGTTCAAATACTGGCAGCTTTACACACTCTCCCATGACGGTGAACTGAAACCCTTTGACGTGAGTACGAAAGAAGACATTAGATGACATAAATTTGGGGTTTGGGAGAGACAGACCGACATTTTAACACATTTTTCGGTAAAATGATTAGTCGAAAAATAATCGACAGTTTAGTCGACAATGAAAATAATCGTTAGTCAGATGAGATTCAGGCTCGTTCAGGAGGAAAACCTTTTTACTGCTCGTTTTATAGGACACATGTCACACAGAGTCACCACACTGTGACGCTCATGAGAATTCACACAGGGGAGAAACCCTACAGCTGCTCAGTGTGTGGGAAAAGTTTTAAGTTTCAGATTCACCAGGCAGTCACATGTCAAAGGTCATAGTGTTTTTGACACCACCTCAGAGCAAGCTTGATAGCTTTTTATTTTTGAGCATGCTGAACTGAGAGAATGTATCGCTTGAACTTGTTAGAAGCAATAAAGCTTGTTTTTCCACCAGTGAATTTACACTTATGAATATGGAATTTGCCCATTATAATGATAATAGAGTAATCGTGTGAGGTTTTTCCTCATGTGTGTTACTTTCCAGCAGACCAAACAGCACATTCCTCCAAAGCAAGACAAAACCTTCATCAATATGATGAGAAATAAAATCACAAATGTCATAAGAATTTCTTTGTAATGACCTTTAAAGAAAATAGAGACCGGAGCCGAAATATCAAAGTTTAACAGAATTTATTATCTTGTACAAGAGGAGCGTTTCACAGTGCAACACACAAGATGAGGTTACAGAGAAAAGGCTCCCTGAGGAGCACCTACTGCAAGCTTTTATACAGTATATTTGGGCGTTGGAGTTTGGAGGTTTCAGTTCCCCTAATCTATCAAGTACATACTTCTTAGATAACAATGGTTGTCAGTTGGTGTGACGTCTTGTCTCACGGTCCTCCGGGTGACCTTGTCCTTGTCCTGTCTCTGACCCTCTGTTTTTCTCGCTTCCTCTTACATATATAATGACAGACTTCCCTTTGCTCTTAACCACCTGCTGATCTTGCAGTTGCTATAGCATTAAACAGGAAATTCCAGCACTTGCACAACACAGTGGCATGTTTACATCTTGTGATCATAATTTTTATAACAACAAATGTTCAGCCAGAAGAACTTAACAGAGGAACAATATCAAAATAAATGCACCACAGTCTCGGCACAGTTAAAGCAGAAGCTACAGTTCACATCAGCGTCTCTTAAATCTTTTTTTTTTTTTTAACACAAACATTAGCAGGAGAGCATTTATTATTATTAATGGTTTAATACTCATTTCTTTAACTTTATTGGTGATTAAGTATCGATTAGGTAGAAACCAGACTTTCAGATTTATTCCAGTCTGAGATCACATATGGAAAAGTAATAATATCTCTTTGGAGCAGAGCTCTTGTTGATGTGTTGTTGTTACTAGAATTACTGGGAAAACAGATTTTACCTATTGGAGTGTGTGATGGAGGTAACTAAGGATAATTGTTGGATATTAACCCTTGGCTGAGAAAATAAAGAAAGTGGTTCATGAGGCTTCATTTGGCCATCACTGGCAGACAGACTCCAGAGGGTGTTGCATCAAAGACTCTTGACTCGTGAAACAGGGATAGTATATTCTACAAAAACTCATGAGAATAAAGATGGCCGTCCTTATTAAAGAACTGAGCTACATGCATAATATCATTGTGAAACCAGTATTCTGTAGAAAGGGGTGCATGTTTATATTAAATATCCTTGTTATTCCATGTATTTGATATTGATATTTATTTTGAACATGTAAAAAAAAGACATGAGCATACATACAAGCAGAAACAGAAAAAAGTAATATTTACAAATTCTCGTCTCGTCTCGTCTCGTCTTGTCTCGTCTTGTCTCGTCTCATCGTCCTCCTCTTATCCGGGTCCAGGTCGCGGGGGCAGCAGCCTCAGCAAAGAAGCCCAGACAGTCCTCTCCCCAGCCACTTCCATCAGCTCTTCCGAGGGAATCCCGAGGCGTTCCCAGGCCAGCCGGGTGATGTAGTCCCTCCAGCGTGTCCTGGGGTGGCCCCGAGGTCTCCTCCCGTTAGAACATGCCCGAAATACCTCCCAGGGGAGGCGTCCGGAAGGCATCCTTACCAGATGCCCGAACCACCTCAACTGGCTCCTCTCAATGTGGAGGAGCAGCGGCTCTACTCCGAGTCCCTCCCAGATGTTCGAGCTCCTCACCCTATCTCTAAGGCTGAGCCCAGCCACCCTGCGGAGGAAACTCATTTCGGCTGCTTGTACTCGCGGTCTCGTTCTTTCGGTCACTACCCAGAGCTCATGACCATAGGTGAGGGTTGGAACCTAGGTCGACCGGTAAATCGAGAGCTTCGCTTTCTGGCTAAGCTCCCTCTTCACCACAACGGACCGGTTAAGCGCCTGCATCACTGCTGACGCCGCCCCAATCCGCCCGTCAATCTCCTGCTCCATCCTACCCTCACTCGTGAACAAGATCCCAAGGTACTTAAACTCCTCCACCTGAGGCAGGACCTCCCCCCCGACCTGGAGTGCCCTCGACCAGATTATGAAAAGCAATTGTCACTGTGTAGTTACTTTGATTTAATACATTCGACAACTTATGAAATCTCACCCCTTCTCCATAAGTCATGGAGTGAAATGAAACAGACAGCTTTCTCATATAGACAAACTTACACCTAAGACTTCCCTAAATATACTATTGTTGTTGCCATTTAACTTTGTCACACAAAATGTGTATGTATATGATAGTGAGTACCAAATATCAATCTTACAAAAACCTATCTTAGTGTATATATAAATTACAAATTAACCATGAAGTATAAACCAAATTTATGATTGATATATTACCAATTGTCTTTGCCTTACTGAAAAAATAAATATTCATAATACACATATATCTTCATCAACTTGTCTTGCTATCTTTTTTAGGTTTAAATAAGTGATCATATGAATTACACAGTATGAATATATGTTCTTCTACCAATATATACTTGTGTTTGCACCCACATACCCATAAATGAATAAATTCTTTTTTAGATATTAATACATTGTTATACACACAGATACTAAGACATATTGAAATACTTTTTTTTATGGTTGTTCATAATAACTGTGAATTGAGAACAAACTGATATATGAGTCTGATAGCATTTTAATAAACCAGGAAACAGGAAGGGAGTGTTTCTGTGACTTCCTGTACACACTGAAGGCTGCCGGAAACTATCTCCACAGCTTGAACAAGATGGCGTCCAGCAGAAACAAGTGTTAGCAGAGTGTCTTTGTTGTGTTTTTAAAGTGTGAACATGTCTAAAGTCCAAATGCTGAGATCGTTGGTGAAGCAGCGACTAACTGCGGCTGCTGAAGAGATATTTGGGCTGTTTGAAAGAACGATAGCAGAGTACGAGGAGGAACTTTGTCGATCAAAAGAGGAGAACGAGCGACAACGGAAACTACTGGACGCTGTTTTCAACCCTCAGCTTCGGTTACACAGAGCAGGTTTGTTCATTAAACATTATACAGCGGGCATACTGAAGGAAAACACAAAAGACCTTCAGACGCTGAAGTTTGCTTCCGATTCGATAGTTAAGGGGAAATGTAAATTACCTTACTGGGCGACAGATCCTTTCACATCAACTTGTTTTTAAAGCCCTGATGAAGACCTGCAGGGGTGGAAACATGTTGGCTCTTTCAATGATTTAGCTACTACAATAAAGGCTTTTTAATTCTTCTGCAGTTCCTTCCTGTGTGTGCTGTTGTTTCTCGTCTCTCCATGAGCACGTGACACAAGGTTTAGATCTGTGTTTGATCACACAGAGTAATCTCTGTTTTACTAAAAATACTGGATTGTCATATCGGCAGAAACCAGCATTTATGATATTTCATTTTAAAGACAATATCAGCCAGTACCGATGATGTGTAGATATTCGTCGTGGGCCCCTACCCTCACTCTGTATTAATGTTAGAACTTACTTTTTTAAATGACGCTGAATAGCCTAGAAGTTTGCAGATTCCCACGTGGCAGAAGGGAAAAGTAACTTGCTTTGCTTAACGTCCGATCTTCAGATTTTTGTACGTCTTACTCTTGTGAACGCATGTTAGACATTTCGGGTGAAGCCTCAGCTCTGTCTGAAACACTTTCAGATCTGTGAAACCTTTATTCTATTTGTGAATATGCAAATAAAGGGACATTTCACTGTGTTTATCCACATACAGACTGATTTGGACACGTCCAGATCAAAAACTGCTTCACTGAGACTGGTCATATCTGGACGAGATGATCCCAGAGAGACTGAAAACACACAGGATTGGACATTTGAGGGTGGAAGTGATACATCATGATGTTTTATAGTGTCTGACAAACAAGCATCAGCTCACTGATATGTGACAGTCCTTCAAGCCTTCCCATTCAGAGGGGCTTCCTGTCACATAGACGTCTGCTTCCTGTTATTCAGATAAGCAGCTCTGGGAACAATTGCTTCTCTTCACATAAACAAATTTGGTCAGACACATGTCAGGTCATCTACAGTATAAGACCAAATATTATTTAAAACACAGTTTCAGATTTGTGAAACATTTGAAAGGGACATTTCACTGCATTTTTTACATGTAGACCACACTGGACCAGGTCCAGATCAAAAAACACTATACTTAGACTTGTCTGGACTAGATGATCCCAGAGAGACTTAATATTACAACACAGTGTCCTGATGTGGCCTAAGTGTAATGGTTTTTGTTATGGAACTGTTCTCATGTGGTCTACATGTGACACATGTAGTGAAATGCCCTTTTTGCATTTTAAAAGGTGGAATAAAGGTGTCACACATTCGAAAGTGGGTTTCATACATCATTGAGGCTTTACCTAAAATGTCTAAAATGCTTTCACAACAGTAAAAGGTACAAAACCCCGAAGATTGGTAGCTAAGCAGGATACACAGGAAGGCGTTCCACACACTCCATAAATATGGAAAACAAGGAGGGAAGTATTAAATTGCCTTTATTGTCGTGGAGCCAACATATTTCAGCTGCTGCAGGTCTTCGTCAGGGCTTTAAAAAACAGATTTTACATCTGTTTTACACATTTCTTAAAACACCACAAAGTAAAACAGCCTTTGACAACAAAAGGTTGTAAATTATTATTATTATTTTGTTATTTTCTTTTTTAAATTTTAAAGTAAATGTTCTCCAGACAATGAAATAATAATATGACACAATGCAAACGCAAATACATGGTATTAAACCAAAGCATTACATAAGCAGGCCATAAATGAAAACACAAAATACGGAGCATACAGATTAAAAGGTTTGTTCAGTCAGAGGTGTGGGGGAAGAAAGTTGCATAATTTTTCCATAATATATGAATAATAATTAATAGTATATTTTAAAAAAACATGCTATAAGTGTGTTTATGTACAGTCTGTGAATAAAACACTATGCAAGTGTCACATTTAGAGTATAGAGAGCAACAAAATCATCTACGCAGATACTCGACGAGAGAGAAGTTGCTCTTTACTGCTGGAGGCATTAAAACAACACAGCGGAGCACTTCACCTCCCCCTTATGTTGCTACTCCCATACAGGCTGGACGCTTGCTGTGATGTGAATGAACGACAACATTTCTGTGTAACATCTGTGTGTTTCCTGTTTCCTGCAGACGTCCAGCAGCTGTTGGTGGTTAAAGAAGAGGTTCCCCCTGAGCAGCAGGAGTGGAGCTCCAGTGTGGACCAGGAGGACCCAGAGCCTCCACACATTAAAGAGGACCAGGAGGACCCAGAGCCTCCACACATGAAAGAGGACCAGGAGGACCCAGAGCCTCCACACATTAAAGAGGACCAGGAGTTCACATCCACTCCTGTCCCTGTGAAGAGTGAAGATGATGAAGAGAAACCTCAGTCCTCACAGCTTCATCAAAGACACACTGAACAGGTGGAAACAGAAACTGATGGAGAGGACTGTGGAGGACCAGAACCAGCCAGGAGCTCAGATCCAGATACACATTTACAACCTGAGACTGATGACAGTGATGATCAGTGGACAGAGACCAGAGAACCTCAGTCAGGTTTAAAATCTCTGAAAAGTGTTGAGGACACTGTCAGTGGCAGAACTGGTGAGAAACCACTTAGCTGCTTTGAGTGTGGGAAAGGATTTGGCAATCTTCAAATTCTGAAAGTACACATGAGAATTCATACTGGAGAGAAACCATTCAGCTGCTCTGAGTGTGGGAAAAGATTTAGTCAAAGAGGTAATCTGCAGCGACATTTGAGATCTCATACAGGAGAGAAACCATTCAGCTGCTCTGAGTGTGGGCAAAGATTTTACCGCAAGACACATCTGCAGGACCACAGAAAATATCATACAGGAGAAAAGCCTTTTAGTTGCCCGGTTTGTGCGAGATATTTTATGGAGAGTGGAACTTTACAGTCACACATGAGAATTCATACAGGAGAGAAACCTTTCAGCTGCTCTGAGTGTGATAAAAGATTCCTTCGCAAGCAAACCTTAGAACATCACATGAGAACCCACACAGGAGAGAAACCTTACACCTGCTCAGTTTGTAAAAAACATTTTTCAAGGAGTGGAAATTTACACTCACACATGAGAATCCACACTGGAGAGAAATCCTTCAGCTGCTCTGAGTGTGATAAAAGATTCCTTCGCAAGCAAACCTTAGAACATCACATGAGAACCCACACAGGAGAGAAAACTTTCAGCTGCTCTGAGTGTGATAAAAGATTCCTTCGCAAGGAAACCTTAGAACATCACATGAGAACCCACACTGGAGAGAAACCTTACACCTGCTCAGTTTGTAAAAAACATTTTTCAGAGAGTGGAAATTTACACTCACACATGAGAATCCACACTGGAGAGAAACCCTTCAGTTGCTCCGTTTGTCAAAAAAGTTTTTCAAAGAGTGGAAATTTACATGAACACATGAGAACTCATACAGGAGAGAAACCTTACAGCTGCAGTGTCTGTCAGCAAAGATTCACTTGGCCTCACCAACTCAGAAACCATCAGTGTGTTGGGTGTCAGTCCTCACAGCCTCATCAAAGTGAAATGGAGGAGAACAGAGAGGCAGAGCCTCCAGCCAGCAGCTCAGCTCAACAGATGGAAATAGACTCTGATGGAGAGAACTGTGGAGGACCAGAACCAGCCAGGAACTCAAAACCAGATACACATTTACAACCTGAGACTGAACACTGGTGATGAGTGGAAAAAGGTGCTGAGTATGACAACACATTTGTCCACTATGGTCTGAAGAGGCATCTGAGGATTCATACATTAAGTTGCTCAGTTTTTGATACAAGATTCCTCTGGAAGAAAAATTGAGTCACATGAGATTTTGGCTCGTTCAGGAGAAACCCTTTTGCTGCTCATTTTGTAAAACACATTTCACACTGAGTGCCCACACTGTTACACTCATGAGAATCAACACAGGAGAAACCCTTCAGCTGCTTACTGTGTGGGAAAATTTTTACACAATAGTTTTCACCAGGCAGTCACATGTCAAAGGTCATAAATGTGTCTTTGACAGCAGCAGCGGTAAAACTGCTGGTTCAGATGAAACTTTTAGCTTTGATGAAACTCTGGAGTAACAAAGAGCTGAAACAGTTGTTGACATGTCTAAAACGAGAACAGTTTTCTTGTGAGCAAACAGCATTTAGAGTTCTGATCCTGGTTTTTATTGATGTCTCATAACTTATTTATAGTTTTGCTTGGTTTTATTTTCTGTAGGCATGAGATGCTAACTGAATGATACAGTTGACTTGGTTGCTGAAGTTTGAATGATGATAAGTTAATGTTTTCACAGACTGATCTGATTCTATATGATAATATGATGTATTTTTATAGGCTTTGCATATTGTGTATATCAATCTATTTTGGTTATATTTACAAGAAAGAAAAATGAATGTTATTTCTTACACTTCCTATATTTTTATTTATATGTATGTTTATGAATGTTCATTGAACTGTGATGAGATTCAAGCAGCCCTGGATGGACAGAATTTTTAGCCACTCTTCACCGTGCCCAGCTGCACAGCGGGGTAACAAAGTGTTGTACCTCGTTTCTCTCCTTCAGGGAACAGGAGTTCTAGTAAAAACATTCTGTTTCCTCTCAGTCGATTCCCTCGGAGCAACACACATAGAATGGTACCTGCAGACACTTAGCCTTAGTGATGGCCAAATGAAGCCTCATGAACCACTGTCTTTATTCTCTAAATCCACTGAATGGCACTGTCTGTTCAACAAAGGTTTGAAAACACATTTCATTGCCATTTCTTCAGCCTTTATCTTTAAACCAAGAGCGCCATCTGGTGGGGTCAGAAAATAAAGAAATTGGTTCATGAAGCTTCATTTGGCCATCACTACTTATCCCTCTAAGATGGTGGCATCGCTCCCAGCATGCCCCACAATTAGCGTTCCCTATTTAGGACTTCTTTTTTTTTTTCACTTTTATTCAGAATGTACATATCATTATGGGGACAGTGATAGAAAACTTAAACACAAAAATCAAACAACAATGGTGGAAATGATATTGCAGCAACCGAGTATAAACATAAAACAAAAGAGAAGTCAAACTGCAAAAAACAGGGTTTAAGCAAAGTAAACAAAAAGAGACAAAAAAGAACAAAAAAAAATAGAAAAGCAAGGATCAAGCAGCAGACGTGTAAGGGTTAACAGCCATTTTCCATAATTTCCAGCAGCCTAAAATAAATGGTAAAATCACTCAAGAACACTGTGAATGAGAGAGAGCTTCTGTTCCATTAACAAGTATGAATATGATATTTACCCATAATAATCACAAGAATGATAGTATCAGAAATGTTTGTTGTTAAGTTGTCCATAAAATAAATAAAACCATTGTTGGTAAATGGAGGTACAAAGATTTCAAAGACCAATTATGGCTTTCAGAACAAAGTGACATGTTAACATTTATATAAAAAAAGAAGAAGTTCAGCGTTTCAGCCTTTGTGTAGAAAAGACACTAAGATCAACAGAAAAACTGAATCTTTTGTACAGAAAGTCACTGACTGGGTATATTGCTAATACTATTTTAAAATGGGCTTCTTTAACTTTTGGAGCAACAGGGCAACATATTTTAAAAGAGAAGGTCTGTGTCTTTAAGGGGACCTTTATGTCCCTATTTGGGACTTGTGTTGAGAAATGTTTGAAAGCTTTTGTTAAGTTCAACAATGAACCTTCAAGCTCAGTGAAAGTTTTTCTTCTAAACGTGTATTTTTCATCATTTGTCTTCCTGTGTTTTTTCCAATTAGTCCTGTAATTTCTGTCAAACTTCTGGGCTTTTATTTTGAAGCTCTGCAACTCATCTTACCCGGAAGCTGTGTTTGTCACAGGCCAACGTCACCGCAGCTTGGACAAGATGGCGTCTGGCAGAACTAAGTGTTAGCAGAGTGTGTTTGTTGTGTTTTTAAAGTGTGAACATGTCTAAAGTCCAAATGCTGAGATCGTTGGTGAAGCAGCGACTAACTGCGGCTGCTGAAGAGATATTTGGGCTGATTGAAAGAACGATAGCAGAGTAAGAGGAGGAACTTTGTCGATCAAAAGAGGAGAACGAGCGACAACGGAAACTACTGGACGCTGTTTTCAACCCTCAGCTTCAGTTAAACGGAGCAGGTTTGTTCATTACACATTACAAGTTCATTATTAATAACATAACTGCAGGTTTGTTCAATAAATATTCGGTCTGTCGACGTTTATACGCCGCGTTAGCTCCTCTGGTGTCGCCGTTAGCTATTCTTCCTCCCGGCCTGAAAGACATAGATTTGTAAAGAGAAACTCTGTTATCTGGTGTTTTTACTGGTTTTATCACCGGGGCAGGTTTTTTTGGAGAGGAAATGAATAATTTGGCTCAGGTAAAATCGTCCGGAAACTCTAGATCAGACAAAAGTGAGCACACATTAACTTATGAGAGAAAAATTGTGAGCACACAATAGCAAGGTGTGGGCAGGCTCTGAGATGCTAAATGGAGTCGGAGATGTCTTGATTTGTCACATGAAGCGGCTTTATTCAGTGTTTTCAGTGGCATTAATCATCTGGTCTATTTGTTTTGGAGAGGAAGAGACCTCTGTAGATGATTTAGCTCCTGGTAAAAACCTCCTGAACAGTGAACACGCAAGAAATTCTAGCTGGCAGAAGTTTTCAGCTGGTTGCAATCTGCAATTCTCAGTGACACCACCAGATATCCCTTAAATCTTACACACTTGTTGTCACACTTGTTTTATATCATTACTTTAGCAAACTACTGGACCAATCAGCCTCATATCTTCTTCACACTAATGACAGCATGTTCAAGGACCTCTCGTGGTTGTGGTGATTCACAATTGTCAATAAAATAGTTTTATCATCCTGGATAAACTTTTGTCATAAAGGATGACACATTTAATTTTCATAGTTTTCAGCTTTTATTTGTATTAATTCTGTTCTTACTGTTTGATAACAACACATTATTATGAACGTTGTTGTTCAATAGTAACATTATATATTGATAATAATATAAGTATGTTTCAGTGTTTGAAGAGGGGTCTTCACATATTGTGATGGCTTTCAGTCTAACTATTTTTTTTATTATTATGAGGCTATGTCTTCATATTGGTTAAAAAAAAGCATCATTTGGCTCTTTCGCTACATTTTCTAGATATTTTTCAGTTTTGTTTCAGAGGATGCATATTATTTTCCAACGTCCCATTGCACTGCTCATTAAGTTTCTGACGGGCCTTAATCAGCATTTTATACATTTTCTTCAGTTTGTACTTGTGGAAGGTTTTAAGAAAAGTCGACATCAGATTGATGACATGTTCCTAAATTATTATTATTATTATTATTATTATTGTTATTATTATTATTATTATTATAGAAATAACAAAACCTTCAAAAATATTATAAATGGTGAAAAAAACAAAAATATTATAAATGATAAAAAATAACAGAACCTTTAAAAAATATTATAAATAAAAAATAACCTTTAAAAGTATTACAGATGGTTAAAAAAAAGTAAGACCCTTAAGAAATATTATAAATGATAAAAAATAACAGAACCTTGAAAATAATTTTAAATAATTAAAAAAAATAGAACCTTTACAAACATATAAATGGTAAAAAACATAACCTTTGAAAATATGATAAATAATAAAAAAAATAGACTTTTTAAATAAAAAATAGAAATAAAAAAGAACCTTTAAAAGTACTATAAATGGTAAAAAAAAAAAAGTAACAAACTTAAAAAATCTTACAATGATAAAAAAAATATTGGTAAATGTCTTTCTTGTTAAATCAAGGAAAGAAATTACACTGAATGATTTCTTTGGTGATTTCTTCACAGTGTAGCCTAATTAATTTGTAAAAAAAAAAAAAAAAAATCAGTGTGATTGCCTATTTATGAACACCAATTGTGTTTAAATAACAATTTCACTCAGGATTATGTTTTTTTCTCTTAAGTCAAAGTTTCATTTTATGGAGTCGAGAAAACAATGAGAGCATGATGTAAAGCACTGTAAAAGATTCAAACACTTTGAAGCTTAAATCACCTTAAAAATAAGCGCCAAGAGCACGTACTGTTTTATCCTCGATACTTGAAAACCTTATTCATCGCCGGGCCGACAACATTTCTCTGTAACATCTGTGTGTTTCCTGTTTCCTGCAGACGTCCAGCAGCTGTTGGTGGTTAAAGAAGAGGTTCCCCCTGAGCAGCAGGAGTGGAGCTCCAGTGTGGACCAGGAGGACCCAGAGCCTCCACATATTAAAGAGGACCAGGAGGACCCAGAGCCTCCACACATTAAAGAGGAACAGGAGGAACTCTGGATCAGTCAGGAGGGAGAGCAGCTTCAAGGGCTGGAGGATGTTGATATCATCAAGTTCCCTTTCACTCCTGTCTCTGTAAAGAGTGAAGATGATGAAGAGAAACCTCAGTCCTCACAGCTTCATCAAAGACACACTGAACATATGGAAATAGAAGTTGAAGTAGAGGACTGGGGAGGACCAGAACCAGATACACATCTACAACTTGAGTCTGATGACAAGACTGGAAAGTCCTCTGAACCTGAGACTGATGACAGTGATGACTGGAAAGAGACCAGAGAACCTCAGTCAGGTTTAAACTCTCTTAAAAATGATCAAGTCCCTGTCAGTGACTTGAATGGTGGTAAAAAACCATTTCGCTGCTCTGAGTGTGGGAAATATTTCAGCTTGTGGCAGCATCTGAGGAAACACATAAGAACTCACTCAGAAGAAAAACGTTTCAGCTGCTCAGTTTGTAAGAAATCTTTTACAAGGAGTGGAAATTTACACAAACACATGAGAACTCATACAGGAGAGAAACCCTACAGCTGCTCCGTTTGTAAGAAATCTTTTACAGAGAGTGGAAATTTATACAAACACATGAGAACTCATTCAGGAGAGAAACCTCACAGCTGCTCAGTTTGTAAGAAATCTTTTACATCACGTGGACATTTACAGACACAAATGATGATCCACACAGGAGAGAAACCCTTCAGCTGCTCAGTTTGTAACCAAAGATTCACTTGGCTTCACCAGCTCAGAAACCATCAGTGTGTTAGTTGTCAGTCCCCACAGCCTCATAAAACTGTGCCTGAGGAGAGCACAGAGGCAGAGACACCAGCCAGCAGCTGGAGAGTGAAGATGATGAAGAGCAACCTCAGTCCTCACAGCTTCATCAAAGAGACACTGAACAGCTGGAAACAGCAGTTGAAGTAGAGGACTGGGGAGGACCAGAACCAGACAGGAACTCAGATCCAGACACACATTCTGATGAGCAGACTGGAGAGTCTCTGTGAATCTGAGACTGAACACTGATGATGATTGAGGTTCTCTGGCCTCCTTTCAATCAGGATGAACTCTGAAAATTACTAAGTCCTTGTCAGTGGTTTGAGATGTAGTGCTGGTGAGAAACCAGTTTGTGAAAAGATTTGGTCAGTGCAGGAATCTGAGGACACGTGGGAACTCATGCAGGAGAGAAACCATATAGTTGCTCTGAGTGTGGGGAAAATATGAGCGTAATGCAACATTCACACTCAACTCATATGAATTTCTTTACACAGAGCAGACATTCATTCTCTCTCTCTCTCTCTCTCTCTCTCTCTCACACACACACACACACACACACACACACCATTTCAGCTACTCAGTCTGGAAGGAATCTTTTACAGAGAGTGAACACTTACACTTGATGATTCACACAGGAGAGACACCATTTAATTGCTCTGTTGGAAAACATAGGGTACATTTTTGCTACCCTGTCTGAAATCTTAAACCCCTGTAACCCAGCACTCTCATGGCACTGTTTAGGGTTCCAGAAGACTCCGCCACTCTGACCGCCTGACAAGCCAATACAGTGGCGTATACGGCTCCATCAGGTTGTTGCAGCATTTTGCTAGAATGGAAGTCCACTATTCCCCATCGGCCTCTGTCTGGATTAAAGACCTTTTATATTTTATCTCAAACTTGAGAAGAGTGCAGTTAGTTACAGAGTGGGCTCCATGCTTACTCCAGTAGCTTGATGGACCATCACAAAGGGGCGGGGCTTAGCGAAAGGTACATTGTACAATATTACTATTCACTCTAGTGCACTGTTGTTTAAAAGACCTATTCCTCTTTTCTCTTTCCTTTCTTTTATGTACTTGTTCCCCATTATTCTACTGTGCTTTATTTTCTATATGGAATTAAACTCATGTGTTGAACCTTTACCTCCATGGAGTTTCAAGGTAGGGGTGGGGGGATGGGTGGGAGATGGATCTGTTAAAGAAAAGAAAAATGGAAGGAAAAGTATTGTAATTCTGTAGGATGTGTAGTTACCCTTTAAAAAAAATAATTTAAGAAAATAAGATTTACGCACAAGCAAGCCTTAGTTCATCACATGAGAACCCACACAGGAGAGAAACCTTTCAGCTGCTGTGTTTGTGACCAAAGTTTCACTTGGTTTCAAAATCTGAAAAACCACATGGAAAACATGACATTTGTGTTTGTTTCATGTATTGTTGAATAAATTCTTTGGTGCGTGCCAGTACACTATTTTTTTTATTATCGTGCTAACCCAAGGCTAATTCCCAGGTGGCTAATACACAAATTAACAAGTGAACTCACCAAAAAAATGGAGGACAGACTTCTTCAATGATCGTTCGTACAATTAACTGCAGCAACCTTTAGCATGCTCCTTCCACCACCATCAAACCTCCAAAGGATCCTCCTTGGGTGTCTTGAACTCCATGTAGGCTGCCACTTCGTCCTCGGCTGCAAAGTTTCATGGCTGGAGTCCTCCACGTCGGTGACCACGGGGGTCAAAGGCAGCTTGATAATAGTGATTTAGATGTCAAAATATTACACAGGTACTGCACGTCTTTTTACTTTGTTTTATTCTGAAAAACAAAACAGATTTTTGTTCTCACCCACTGCCCGCCGCGTGTAGTTCATTTTACCTGTACATTTATATTTATATATGTATCTACATGTGTATATATATATATTTTTACTCATTACAGAGCTTTTTGCGGGTTACCCACCAGGTACCCGACCCCGTGCAGGACTCTGCTATGGGGACTTGCTCTGTTTCGGAGCCAGCCTCAAGTGGCCATTAGGGGAACTGCAGTTTTAGGCACTTGTGCACTGGCTTCAAAGCCTCAGAGGTTCCCAGCAGTGTGTTACTGCAGTCATGGGGCTTCTAATCATACTGAGCTCATGTACGTGTAGCCAGTGGTGCCAGCAGCTGTAATCTTGTAGGCACTGTGCGTATGATTTTTCCAACAATTTATCATCCTGTCTTGAAAAACAAAATTGTGACAAAAGCGGTAGATCGTGTCTTTGGGTTCTTTTTTACTGAATGTGCCTGAGATACATTTTGTGGCTGTGTCCAATCACTATGAAGCAAATACATTTGGATACTGATGATTAGTGCACGTCATGGGCCAGAGGTCAGTGTACAACTAACATTTCTGGGGCTCAATCACGATGCTAGCAATACTGTGTTATTTATCTTGTGTGTTAGCAAGCAAAACTAGTTAGAAATGAGAGAACGAAAACAACTAGGCATTTTTCAGGCTTTTGAAATAAAGCAAACAAACCTCAGCAGCGAAGAATATGCAGAGAGTAAAAGTACGAGCACCGAGTCTGCTAACGTTACTGCTGCTAGCATTAACGATACAACAGAGGCTAGCAGCCAGCTACATGTTCAGGATCCAGCCTCTTTGCAAAGTGATGAGCCCCGGGATCATCATGATATTGGATCTGATGCGGAGGCCGATGCAACAGGGAGACGCAGAATGAACTTCAGATAGGTAGGAATACCACTTAATTTGCTCATGTCACCTTTTTATTGTTTATTGGAGCAGCTTGTTGGGCTTTGTGTCACATATTGTTGCCGTATATTTTTTATACCTAACTGTTGATGTTGATGTGATACTGTGCAAAATGAGGGAATCTGTTGTCTGCTCAACGCCTGTACATTTCTCTTAGCTATATTCAGTGTATTATATTGTATTCTGTTATTTTGCTGGCTGTTGCCGTCAGGTCTGTAGGCTTGTCTTTAAAATGCATGTGGTCGGCTAATCAGCGGATGTGTAAGGCTGCTTAGTGATGAGGCCCATGATCTGCCTGCTCACAGCATGTAATGTGACTACCTCTGTAAAGTAACAAGATGATTCTGTCTGAATGCTGAAATTGTGTTTAATGAACCACTGAAATAATGGTTTCCACTTCAACTCCTGATGTCACTGAATGTGATGTTTTCTGTTGTGTTTTCCAGACTGGGGATACTGGAATGATACACGCTGCTCAGACAAGAAATACTTTGTGTGCGCCAAGAATATGTGATCATCAGCTGATTTCACATTTTCAGTCAGTGTCGACATCGACAGCTGATCAGCTGTATTACAGTAGGACCAGTTTGTTTCATGATAACACTGCAAACACAAGCTTTTAAATTTACTGCAATAAACGCTTCAGCATTCATGTTCCAGTGTCTCATTTATTTATGGTTATGATTAGCAATATCAGTGTGGAAATGTTTAAGCTCTTCCAGATGCATTTCTTTTAAACATCTAAGAAAGATTCTGCAACAGATTTGATAGTGACAGCGATCTGTGTGCACTAAAGTCTTTATGAGATATGACTTATCATCTGCTATGGGTGTGTGTTCTGAGCCGCATACTTTTTCTTTTAACTTTTAGAAGGTTCTCCAGCTGCTTTTACACGATATGTTCTGTTGGGACATACTATTTTTCATAACACTGTGCCTTGAACTTTGACCTTCTTGTTCATACAGTCAGGTCCATAATTATTTGGACAATAATACTACAGTTGTCGTCATTTTGGCTCTGTACACCACCACAATGGGTTTTAAATGAAACAATGAATACCTGCTTAAAGTGCAGACTCTCAGCTTTCATTTAAGGCTTTTTTCAAAAATGTAGTATGAACCATGTAGGAATTACAACCATTTCTTCACACAGTCCCCCGACTTTAAGGGCTCATAAGTATTTGGACAAACTAACATAATCATCAATTAAACAGTCAGTTTTAATACTTGGTTGCAAATCCTTTACAGTCAATGACTGCCTGAAGTGTTGGACACATAGGCATCATCAGATGCTGGGTTTCTTCCCTGGTGATGCTCTGCCAGCCCTTTACTGCAGCCGTCTGCACTTCCTGCTTGTGTTTTGGGTGTTTTGCCCTCAGTTTTGGCTTCAGCAAGAGAAACGCATGCTCAGTTGGATTCAGGTCAGATGATATGACTTGGCCATTGCAGAACATTCCACTTCTTTGCCTTAAAAATGTCTTTGGTTGCTTTTGCAGTATGCTTCAGGTCAATGTCCATCTGCACTGTGAAGCATCGTCCAATGAGTTTTGAAGCATTTGGTTGAATCTGAGCAGATAATGGTGCCCCAAACACTTCAGCTTTCATCCTGCTGCTCTTGTAAGCAAGACAAGACTTCACTAGAATAAATACAGAGGGTTTATCACAAGATGCAAACCATTGGTTAGCCTTAAAAATGGAAGGCCAGATTAGAGTTTGTCAAAAACCATCTAAAAAGCCTGTACAGTTGTGGAACAGCATACTATGGACAGATAAAACAAAGATCAACTACCAGAATGATGGGAAGACAAGAGAAGGAAGAAGGGAAGGAACTGCTCATGATCCAAAGCACACCACCTCATCAGTGAAGCATGGTGGAGGTACTGTTATGTCATGGCCATGTATGGCTGCCAGTGGAACTGGTTCTCTTGTATTTATTGATGATGTGACTGCTGACAAGAGCAGCAGGATGAAAGCTGAAGTGTTTGGGGCACCATTATCTGCTCAGATTCAACCAAATGCTTCAAAACTCATTGGACGATGCTTCACAGTGCAGATGGACATTGACCTGAAGCATACTGCAAAAGCAACCAAAGACATTTTTAAGGCAAAGAAGTGGAATGTTCTGCAATGGCCAAGTCATATCATCTGACCTGAATCCAACTGAGCATGCGTTTCTCTTGCTGAAGCCAAAACTGAGGGCAAAACACCCAAAACACAAGCAGGAAGTGCAGACGGCTGCAGTAAAGGGCTGGCAGAGCATCACCAGGGAAGAAACCCAGCATCTGATGATGCCTATGTGTCCAACACTTCAGGCAGTCATTGACTGTAAAGGATTTGCAACCAAGTATTAAAACTGACTGTTTAATTGATGATTATGTTAGTTTGTCCAAATACTTATGAGCCCTTAAAGTCGGGGGACTGTGTGAAGAAATGGTTGTCATTCCTACACGGTTCATACTACATTTTTGGAAAAAAGCCTTAAATGAAAGCTGAGAGTCTGCACTTTAAGCAGGTATTCATTGTTTCATTTAAAACCCACTGTGGTGGTGTACAGAGCCAAAATGACGACAACTGTATCATTGTCCAAATAATTATGGACCTGACTGTATATCTGTTACCGTGGAGATAAAACAAAACCATTCTCCAAGCTTGCCAGAGACGGCGGTCAACCCAGAGAACTCTGCTGCATGTAGTCTAGATTCTTTTTCAGGGTTTTCCTGCTACAACGGACATCCTCCATTCCATTCAATTATCTGTAGGTGTGAATGGTTGTCTGTCTCTATGTGTCAGCCCTGTGATAGTCTGGTGACCTGTCCAGGGTGAACCCTGCCTCTTGCCCAGTGTCAGCTGGGATAGGCTCCAGCCCCCTGCAACACTCAAGAGGATAAGTGGTTACGGAAAATGAATTAATGTAATACTATGGTGATTTGCTTTATTCCTCTGTAAAAAATAAAAATCACATGATTGTGTGTGTGTGTGTGTGTGAGAGAGAGAGAGATTAATGTGATCTCAATCTCTGATTTTATCTGTCCAGAATAATTTTTTCCATCAGAATTAAAGCAGTAAATCCAATTTAGGCTTTTACTTTTGTATTTTATGAAAACAGTAAAAGGAAAAATGACAGTCGATGTAAAATTATAGACTCTATTAACAACTATGGAAAGTAAATCAAAGTAGCCTAACTGTCTGTCCTCTTTATTAAACTTTAAATAAAGTGATTACAAATTATGTTTTTGGCATTGCTGTGAAGTCTGTACATATGAGGATGTTCTGATATCAAACACTTGAATTTTCCCCAGTTACTCATTAACTCACCAACACAGCAGGCTGATTATTGACATTAGAATGGGAACCAACGACATTTTCAAAGGACCTTGCCCACACAGCTTTTTTAGTCTCAGGGGAGAACTGACTCAGAGGTACAACAGGTATGTGTTTTCTTTTGTTAATATTTATATTTTAATTGTATTGGTGCTTTCACTGTCAATTGTCAGTTATTTCTTCCAGTAGGTTGGCTCCTTTATTTGTTATGTTTTCAAGCTTGGATGCTTTTCACATATTCATTCATGGTTAAATTACATGCCGTCAGTTTCTTCTACTAAATGATGTAAAAGAAATTCAGTTCAGTTCAGTTTGTTTATTGGTCTCCTTAGAGAAATTTGACTTGGAGCTAGGGGTCAGCATACACATACATATATACAATCAAATCAATTAATCTCAGTTATCTTTATTGCCCAAATGATCTACATGAAAAAGCTGGACTGCAGTCCGACTTTACAACTAACTGTTCTACTGTCCCGATTGTGGCTGTTGCTCTGTAAGTGAAACCAGCTCTTTTAATTTGCAGCATTTTCAGTTCACCAACACACAGTGACAAGGGCGTGACACTGAAGCAAGTACAAGTGGCTGAAGAGATGGTTTTCATGTTGTTATTATTTGCACATCATTGTTTATTTGAATGTCAGCCTTTGATCAAGCTTTGCAAGGTGTAAAATCTTTTGACTATTTTTCTCCTAAAAGTCAGAATCTCAAACCATCATTTCTACTTCATGTTTTTTTTTCTTTGCTAACATGTCAAATATTTGTAAAGCCTTTTAATCAAACATGTATAACTTCAAAATGTGTCTAGAAAATGAGTTTCTGACAGATACAGAATATGGCTGCTATCGGGCTTTGGAGCAGTGATGAATCATGCTTTGCTATCTAGAAATGTGGCTTAGTGAATACCAAACTTCCAGCTATACAAACTGTAACGTTTACTGAAGGAGGAACAGTGGTCTGCTGCTGTTTTCCTGGTTTAGCCTCTTGATCCCAGTGAGGGAAAATCTTTATGATTCAGCACATAAGAATATTTTGGACAGGAGTGTCCTTGCAACTCTCTGGCATCAGTTTTGAGCATCAACATAATGAAAATCTATATAGACTGTTGTTGCCTTTGCCTATACAGTGTTTTGCATCGTCTCTATTAAGTGAGATTTGAATGAATTATGAATTACTTCTTTTTGCAGATGTATCCTTTTTACATCCATACAGCCTTTTCTTTCTGGCAACTTACATTTCAGAAGTGTTTTATTTCCCCAGAGCTCCAGGATGCTTTGCCTGAATGATGAACTGCTCTTTAAACTTAACCTTGGATACGTCAGTGCTTTGGTTTTACAGCACACCGTGATCGTTCTTCTACTTGCAGACTCCTTTAGAGGTAACTGACACACAAACAGCAGCAGGGAGAGCATGAAAGGGGATAAATCTAAATAATAAAAGCATGGTGTTTTTGTTGAATTAAAATATCACCGATCAAAGCAAGCAGTAATTCTGTGCAATAGTTCCAAATGCAGGATTAAAATGTTCCATGTGTCTCTGCAGGCCAGTCTCAGGGGGCTAGACCTTCTCGAACAATAGTGACATTAGTTGGTGAAGACGTTATCCTGCCGTGCCACCTGGAACCTGCAGTGGATGTTGTTTCTAAGAGTGTGGAGTGGGGGAGACTTGACCTGGAACCAAGATTTGTCCATGTGTGGCATGAAGGTCAAAACATTCTCAGTAACCAAAACCCGTCTTACAGAGGAAGAACATCAGTGTCCATTGAGAAACTGAAGCATGGAGACCTTTCACTGACACTGTCTGCAGCCAAACTCTCCGATAATGGAATCTATAGATGCTACTTTCCCTCACAGAATAAAGAATCCACTGTTGAGCTTATTGTTGGTGAGTAGGCATAAGATTTTATGCACATTTTGCATCATACTCCTACATATTTTCAGATTTTTAGCGGCTTGATGTCTTGTTTTATTATTTATTCTTTTGGCACTGTATGCTACTGTGTCACTGTTAAGATTACCATCAATCTCTACAGTCATAAGTGGTTCTAACAAACCCTGGACTTTGACCCAGGAGGTCGGTGTTCCCTTCCCGTATGAATGTAGACCCAAACCATGATGTTTTTCTCTAAACCTATCCATGCAACCTGGTCTCGCTCCAAAGTCGCCAAAATCCAGCGCTTGTGCAGTGACTTGTGGCACCAGACACCGATGAAAGAAGCCATCCTTTAGCATTGGCATAACACACGACACAAACACAATACAGTACATGCACATAGTGCTTTTAATTTGAAAGAGACTGTATGCAAACTGCAAATTTCCTGTGAAAACAGCAGTGTATTTTAAAAACAGACAATGCATGTAACAGGCTGAAGCTGTCACGACATCCAAGAGCGTCAACAACCAACGCAACCAGCTAACCTTCAAAGTTGTATCTAAACGTGGAAAGTTCATGACCAAAAATGATATGTGACAAGTGAGAAAGGCCACTGACTAAGCAGCGATATGTGACGACTTGGAATGACAAAATGTGCCTGTATACTGGTGGCAGACGAGTTGTAATTATGTCTTTGCAGGTGTAGCCAAGAATTTAGTGGTTAAGTTCAGTGAAGCAAGAAAGCTGTCTTGTGATTTCAGTGTTTCTCACTTTAGAAGATACTGTTCTTCAGCTTGTCTCCTGATCAAGTCACATCAGTCTCAGGAGTTGTGTTCTTCCAGTTAAACTGTCACTCATGTAATATCAATAATTTAAGTTTAAAAACTAGTTTGGAAGCAGCTCATCACGCTGCCTTCTCTCTGTTCGGCCTGTTCATGTCTTCAACACTGTGGGTCACTTTTTTTCCCCCAAACAAATGTATTCACATCAGATTTATGTAAATTAGGTTTTATTCTGTGAAGACCTTTAGTATGATGTCACGCACATTTCTCCTCTCTCTCATCATCAGGTTCTGTCTCCTCAGCGGTCATAGCTGGAATTTACTTAAACAGCAGCGCAGTGGTGTTACAGTGTGAGTCTGCAGGCTGGTATCCAGAGCCTGAGGTGTTGTGGCTGGACGGTGAGGGAAAGCTCCTCTCTGCTGGACCTACAGAGACAGTCAGAGGTCCTGATGACCTCTATACTGTCAGCAGCAGAGTGACTGTGGAGAAGAGACACAGCAACAGCTTCACCTGTAGAGTCCAACAGAGGAACATCAACCAGACCAAAGAGACAGAGATTCAATTTTCAGGTAATTTTTATCCCCTCTAACATCACTTTTGTTTCTTCTAACAGCTGATGGACAGTTTTATGTAACTCATATTCTGTTGTGTGTTTTATCATTTCAGCTGATTGCTTCGAGGCTCCATCTTGTTCTGCTGCTCGTGTCGGCATTTTAGTGTTTATTTTCCTCATTTTTGTTTTTGCAGCAGCCTATGTTGTGTGGAAATGGAGACAGCACAAAACCAAAGGTAAAATAGTACAGCTCTGTGATCATACTCATTCTGAAGTCGTAAAACACTGCCGCTTTGTCAGTGATTTTGTTGTCAGATGCCTGACACTAAGAGTCACCTTTTGCAGAGTGATTGGCAGCCAGGCAGTGTCAGTAATGCTGCTGGTTGGCTGGGATAGCACCTGTTGGTATAGTGGGATGATACGCTGCTGGACAGTGTCAGGTTGAAACGCTTCCAGTACTGACGTGATGTAAGGAGCTGGAAAAGCCCTATAGGGCTAGCAGGAGGGGTACTGGATGCGTCTAACAAACCCTGAACTTTCACCTGGGAGCCCAGTGTTTGTGTCCCAAATGCGAAATCAAGATGAGTGTTTTTCTTGCCTAAACCCAAGTAATGTGCTTTTGTTGACTTTCCGGCGTTGGTAGCATGTCCTGGTACATCAACGACAGACACAGGAGGATACCTAGCATGTAATATGTAGATGTGAAAGGCCACTGACAAAGTGGCAATATGTGACAACTTGCTACATCTTATTTGTTTCAACAAATAATGTAAGTAAAGGTTATATTTCATGCTTAAAAATGTCAACATAGGGGTTAAAATATTAGAACTGAAATATAAGTAAACGCTGGTGACCTGTGCTGTGATTGGTTCCAGCCTCCTGTGACTCTGGAGGGACGGATGAAAGTTTAAAGTGAATACAAAGGTCAACTGAATTTTAGGCAGTTTCTGAGAAATGAATTTCTGTTACAAATATATTATGTAAACTTTTATAATGAATTACTGCATATGCTTTTTAACCTTTTTTTTACCCTTTGACATCCTGCTCAACCATGAGAGCACATTTTTAGTTACTATCTCAATGAAAAATATGTTGAACTTAACCTGATTGAGCTCACCACTTGGTTTAGGAATGTTACGCTAAAAAACAACAACAACAACAACAACAAAAAAAAAAAAAACACTAGATGTTGCTGTGCCTTTTCAGTTTGCCTCCTTCAGGAAGTTAGTAACAAAGAAAGTCACTCCAGACATGATGACTCAGTAAGATAGTTTCAGAGGTCTCAGATTTATGTAGCATCATACAAAAAAAAATTTAATCTGATGAGGGTCAAATATTTTTTTTAAAAACAGGCTCGGCAAAAGGGTTCATTTGTCCTTTAATAGTAAAGGCAGTGAGGCTCAGCATCATCATTATCCATTATATAAATGCTGAAAATAATAAGTATGATTTTTTTTAACTGTCTAAAGCCATGAATGGTTAAATAAGAAAATAAATTCACAATTTTGATTAAATTAAAAAAATATACATTCACTGTTTTAAATAGCATATATCTAATTTTATTCATATATTGTATCTAAAAATATATGCCACTGTGATTTTTCATTGTTTCAGAGATTAAAGCACTGTAATAGTAAACAACCAAAATGCAACACTACATAAACAAGTTGAAACTAAATTCAGCACATTTTTATGTTCACACAGACACAAAGATGAACCGTGATGGTGAGAGAGCAAAGACAGAGACAGAGCAGCTCATGGCAGAACGCAAGAAAATGGAGGATTTGGGGGAGAAAAAGGCAAAACTTGTAGAAATGTTACAGAAGAATGAAGAAGAAGAGAAAGACTTGGAGCAGGTGGTTAAAACACTGATGGAACAGGAGGAGCAACTGAAAGAACAGAGAGATCAAACAGAGCATCAAAAGAACCACATGGAGAGAAACATTACAGATATTGAGAACAAGCTTCAGTCAGTGGAGAAGATGGCAGAGAGTGACCGATACCATGAGATGAAGAGCATTGTGTTAACGGCCAAAAATCAGTTGAAGGGTAGGAAACAAGAAGATGAAAAACTTCACGTGGAAACACAGAGACTACTGACTAAAACACAAAGTGTGATAAATAGAATGACAGACAGGAAGAAGGCAGCAGAAAACTACAAGGAGACACTCAGTGAGCAGCTGGAGGAGATAGAGAAACAAAAAAAAGAGATTCAAAGGAAACTTCAGTCAGAGCAGACTTTAGATTATTAAAAGACAACAGCTAATCAAAGTCTTATTCTGGTGTTGATACAGATTTGTTTATAGCAGTAATACGAATGCACTAAAAACCCATCTTCATTTATGAATCATCATCTGAGAGCTCTCATTAATGATGCAGAACAACTTTTACATGACTTTTGCCTGGATCCAGGCCCGGCGCCATGAAGTTACTGAGGGGGCGGTTAAAAATTACAAAGGGGGAAATATTTATTATGCAACATAGGTTCACAGTGAGTTATAAAGAGCGCGCAGCCGTGCGTAATTGTCGCACGTAATGACAGCTCGTCGCCGTCTTTCAAGTTTGTCTCCTGACAGATGGAGCTGACAGACAGACAGACAGACAGACAGACAGACAGACAGGTGGAGCAAGCGGCAAATTGGTATGAAAGCTGGTTCAGGTTTCAGTTTTTCCACTAGCCTAATCTGTCATCCAAAGATGGATGCCCCCGATTTCAAAACTCATTCATCATCAGTCATCCTGCTGTCTGGATGCATGTCTGACATATCCAGCAGAAAAAAACGTGTGTCACATAGAACATAGAAAAATAAACCAGCTAGATTCTGTCTTACTTTTCCTCAGTAGAGTCGCAGCCTTCTTGTTTGTTTGTTAAACTCTCTGAGTAAGCGAGGAGCCACTGGCCTCAGCTGCAGTCTCTGCTGTAGTGTTTTTTTTTTTTTTTGTTTTTTTTTTTACAAAACCATGTTCCTATATCCATCTTTGGCTTGAACTGCTTTTTGGGCAAAGAACAAACTAACGTGATGGCAAAGTAAGTTGACCAAACTATTTCGCAAACAAGCTAGCTTAAATCATATAGTACGGTGCGCCGTGAGGCCAAACCTAATACAACACACAACAAACGTGCTGTCCATGGTTCTGAAATTACTGCAAATAACAGGGGGTTATGGTGTTTCACTCTCCTCTCAAACACCATAACCCTATGTTAAAAAACAACAACAAAAATACTGGTCGGTTGGACCAGTATTTTTGTTGTTTTTGCAGATTTACTATGGCACACAAAACTTAAACTGAAGGGGCAAAAAATCAAACTGAGGGGGCAGTGCCCCCCCTCGCCCCCTCGTGGCGCCGGGCCTGCCTGGATCACTGGGTGACTGTAGATATTTGCTGTATACAGATTTATGAGATTGTGTGTATGTGTGTGTGTGTGTGTGTGTGTGTGTGCTTGTTTATACACTTGTATAACAGTTGCCTGCTTTAGGTCTATTTTAATATTTCTTTTCCTGTTTTGGTTGAGACGATACAGAAATGTTCAGCTCTTTATTTTACGTGTGATGTACCATAAAGGTTAAAATGAACAGTTTCTCATGCTGGATGTCCAGAAACAGAATAAACTTGAAATTCTTTCACTTTGGAGTTCTTCCTTTATTCAGAGTGGAAATAACACTTTACTTAAAACTTATTCCAAAGTTGTGGAAATGATTCAGCTGATAACAAAGTGGGTTTAGAGGGAAGTTATAGCATCACATGGTGGGTTAAAGCATCAAAGCAAAAGACTTTGTTACTGATAAGATTACATTTACTTAGATAATGCTTTTATCCAAAGTGACTCACAACATGAGCATTAACCCTTTAAACACTGACTTCCTGCAGAGGGCCACAGGGCTTGTTGTTTGAATGATACCGTTTAAATCAATCTAAAATAATAATCATAATAGCTACGACTTTCTTTTTTCTGCAGTAGAAAACTCAGGCTTCTGTCTTGTGTGTCTTCAGTACATATGTTCATAATAACAACACTGCACCACACACACAAGGTGCCAGAGGAATGAATGAATGCTACATACTGTACATGGATCAAATAACTTAGGAAGTGTGAAGAAATATTTAGTTTCTGTTTGTACATTTAAAAACATTTTGGATCATTGTGTTTGGTGTTTTTACTTTAGTGTGTTAGGAATATGAAGAATCTGAAAACACTCCAAGAATTGACATCACAATGAGCAACAAATACAACTGTTAGCACTGCTGGACCATTTCCATTGCAGAGGTCAAAGTGTTAAAATGCTGTGTTTAAATATATATATAAATATATACATATAAAGATACAACTTTTAGATATAAACAGGGCTCAAGGTTAACTGACATGCAAACACGATTGCTCTTCTTCATTGGAAATCTAACATGTGCTTAATACTTGAGACTTGAAAACACACACACACACACACACACTGTCTGATAACTGCCAGCTACCGTGAGAGAGTGTTATTTGTGTAAAGGCTCAGTAGATAACCATGTTTGAACCCAGATGACACGAGCAGGTTGGCTTCACATTTATTTGTCGTCAAAAGCCTGCAAAAGTAAAACCAGGCAGACAAACAGAAACTGTTAAACTTATCCAAAAAGAATTTATGCACAGAGGGAGGAGTCTAAGAGTCAGACAGGACTTCATGCAGTTTAGGCCAGGTGGGTGGAACTAAAGGCTGGAAAGTTAAGGTGTAAGCAAAGTGAACAACCTGGCAGAGAATGGTGGAAATGGGCTGGTAAATATACTACAGGGCTGATAAGGGCAAATGAGGACGTGTGACTGTGACTGGACTGCATGTTGCACTCTTTGGTGTGATTTACAGGTGTGTGGGAGTTTCTACATTTCATGGACCATTTTTGTTGTTACTTGGAAGTTTTTTGTACAAGGTTTATGAATCATTTCTTGAACAAAAGGTGGTCTGTCAGTCACAACTACTTAGTTCACACTTTATATTCATACGTTATTATATTACATTCAACGTGCAACTAGTAAGAATGCAAAAATTCATATTTTCTGTGCACCAAATTATTGATTACAGTGGTCATGAAATAAAAGAGGAGATAGGCTGCAAAATCGCGCTATCAACCATATCTAGACCGCCATCTTTACTTGGCTGCTGGCATAATGTGTTTCTGCAGCCGTCTGCCTGATGTGTGTATAAATCTATCTCCAGGGAAATACTGTACATATACAGAGATCTACTGTAGATACAGTTTTCAGTGCACTGCACTGGATATAAATATAAGTGGTCCTGCATTTTGTGTCTATCTTATCAGATTTTATCATCATGTTCTTGTCAAGATCTTCTCCTGCGACTGTCAGTGTCAGCGTCATTGCAGTAAGTGTCTTTACATGAACATGGAAACATCAGGAAATCAGTAAGTTCATTAATTTATTCCATCTAATATGGATAATCTATTCTTGTAGGCTTTTGATGTGAGGGGCCATTCTGCTAAATCGGTGCCGAGTTTGTCCCCAGGACAATACATAAATAAATATCTGTACAAAACATTTTATTAATGAGCAGTGTCCTGCCCTTTGTTTCCTTATTGCACTATGAAGATACATCATAAAGAAAATTAAGAAAATCTACCTTACACACTTAAAAAAAAATAATTTGGATGAAATATATTGATGAGAATCCTTCAGATTATTACTTTTTTGTTTTTATTTTTATTTTATCAAGTGGGTGAGCCTGTGCTCAATTTAAACATAGTGGGTCTCATTCATGAAAAGTTAGTAAATCTGTGTCCACAGCTAACACCGTGGACCCGCGAACTCCTGCCAGGATTGGGCTGGTAAATGCTAGATCGCTAGCGAACAAAACGTTTATCCTGAAGGATTTCCTGACTTCCCGAGGATTGGATTTTCTCTGTGTGACTGAGACTGTTGGTGAGTCCAGTGCTTTCACAGAACTTTTACCCGATGATTGCTGCTATTTTAACTCCCCGCGGACGTCGGGTCGAGGAGGAGGAATAGCGACTATTTATAAGAGTCACTATAAATGTAAGCAGCTAGGTAAGATGACGTGTGCCGTCTGAGTGCCGTAAATCGTTTCGTCCTGGAAGCGACCTGGGGCGGACNTAATTTTGTATAAAAGATCAATACGATGCTGTGTCAGATTTTCCCACCTGTAGTATAAAGTCTGGAGCTTATAAATGACAGTGAGAGCACCCAGAGGAATGTTCTGAGCACACTGTTTATTTACAATAACCTCCAGGCATGTCACACCCATGAATCAAACTGACTGAGCTAGTTTTTAGTTTTTAACCACCTTGAAAGGCTCACAATACATCTATAGCAGTTTAAGTGTGCGTTATATTTAGAGTGTTTTCACCACTTTACCCTGCTGTCACACAGACATGTGGAACTGAAGCCATTATATCAAAGCCACCAGACTCCACTGAAAAAAACAGAAATCTAACTGAGCAGATCACTGAGCTGCTGCTCTGCTGCAGAGTCGATTGGTTCATGTGTGAGGTAAAGCAGAGCAAATATTCAGATATAACCTACACTTACACTGATAGTGATTCTTTAAAGTGGCCCCGTCCACATCAGCACATTGTTGAGCTTCTGTGCCGGTAGATTTGGTTTATTAAAGATGAAAGCAAAGCAACAGAGTCAATAAGATAAGCAGAGCAGAAACATCAGAAGGGTCAGACCACTGTGTTTAACTATATATCTTTAAACGTTACAGTTTCAGCTGAAAATGACAACAGAAATCAACAAGTCTGCTGATGTCACAGATCTCTGCAGATGTAAACTATTTACAGTTTTCTACCTGGAAGTGATTGTTGTTGTTTGTACAATGTCACAGTGATTCGGCCTGTATGGGTACATTTTCTGTTCCAGATCTGAGAACACTACAACAGAATAAAGATCATTTGGGTCTAAAACAAAGGCAACAAATCAAATCAGGCTCCCAGTCATTGTCTATGGAGCAGCTCCAGACTTTATACTTGATGACATCACAAATTTGAGAAATAATCCTCTGGTTTCAGGCTTTGAGAGAGAGCAGCTCATGTTCACAAACACTGATTGAACTTTCCAAGGCCATGGAAATAACATATTGGAATTCTTAATTTAGTTGGTGTTCCCCTTTAAGGTTAGGTTGGGGTTAAAACGCAGCGCTCTGAGCCCTTACAGGGGTTGGAAGAGCCCCATGAACACTGCAATAATTTAAAGTATTGGATCAAATCTGAGGGTACTGGGCCACTGCACACGTGGGGCAACGGGAACTTTATTTATTAACAGTGCTCCATCCCTCAGGGTCTCTGGAGAAATAATCTGGTGACTGCCGCTGAGTATGGTTTTTCAGGTGCCTCTGGATTGCGCTCTCATTTTTGGTTTTAAATGTGGGGCAGAGAGGACACCCAAACTCGGATGGTGAAAGGGTAGTGTGCCCCAGACTGGCTTTGTCACTCACAATAAAGGGGTGCATCTGAAAAAAGGAGAAGTCAATCAACATTGGTAGCTGGAAAACATACTGAACATCAACCATATTTTACCGATCTAAAGGACTCATGGTGGAGGAGGCACTACAGCTATTTATGCATCCACATGTGTATGTGTATTAGTGCTCTGCATTACTAAAACATAATACAAATGTATTTTTTGCAGACACCCGGGGCTATGTATACGTTAGATATCTGACCCTGTTAACCCTCGGGGGTCGCTCATGTCGTATACCACATGAGACAACTCTCGTTACTATTTTTAGAATATCTCTGGAAAAAAAAGCTGTATATAACTTGATTGAGCAGCGCAGGGTTGAGGTTATACAAGCATTAATACACAAGGAGACCAGGCGAACCAAAAATTGGGGTAAAAATGTCTTGTGTGCAGTGAGTGTGTGCACAGATGTTTTATACCACAACAAGCAGAGGAACACATATTAACCCCGCTGCAAACTACACATCTAAATTAACCAACACATCAAGAGAGGGCAGTAATAGTCTCTGGCCAACATTAACACTGTTAACACACAGACATTGATGAAAGGGAGCACAACAGACCTTGAGCAGCTAACGTTAAGTTAATTCCAATCATACCCTCGTTTTTACACAACAAATGCAGCTAAACCCACCATACGGTGGTAGTAATTTGTGCATGCCGAGATTCCTCACATAGACGTCCCCCTAATGATTCGATACATTACGTAGAATTGCATCTTAGAGAACATAACACACGTGTTAAAATATAATGAAGATGACGGCGCGTATAAACGCAGCGGCTTGGTACTCTATGCTAGTGCTAGCTACTAGCTAGTACTGCTAGTGCTAAGTGCCGAATAGAATTTCGTTGTACAATGTACAATGACAATAAAGTTGTCTAATTCTAATAATTAAAAGACTCGTTCCCTTACTGCTCTTTCTCTTAGTCGTGCGTGTATTGTTCGCATTCTTCTCTTCGTCTTCTCTGTCGTCTTCTTCCTCTTCTTCTTCTTTGGCGAATAATACACACACAGACCAACTTCCGGTATGGATTGGATATATGGCGGCGCCCATGTCCGCCATCTTGTCTACAGCTGACCTCACCAGGAAAAAAACATCAGCACCATCTAGTGGACCAAAAAAGCAACTGGCTTTATTATTCTAGCACCAAAAGCTGTATTAAAATGTGTATCTGCAAAAATGCAAATAAGGATTGGGGTCTGTGATGTATTGTTTTTGTTTTGTTTTGTTTATTTTATTATGTTGTATATTTTTTACTGGACCTTTGACCTGAGTAAAGTTGACTGATTGATTGATTGTATGATGCACATAATAAAAGATTGATACGTGGCGTCTGTGTATAGACACAATATCGCCACGCAAAATATCGCGATACAATGCTGTATCGATTTTTTTCCACCACCCCTAATTTGCAGTGCCCGCTCTGTAGAACTGACACCAAAGTCTGGCTCATTGAACGCTGTCACTGACATCATGACCTTTGCTTCTTTTATATTTTCCTTGCTTGGTGCATGTCTACAAACTGTATGATAGTCCTGCCACTGTGAGGTGAACAGAGAGAATGTAGAGTGATCTTGTTTGTTAAACAGGTGGACCACGTATATTTATATTAGGAATGATAAGCTGCGAGCAAAGACCGCTCCCTGGGACTTTGGACACACCTGGACCAGGGAGTGTGTGTGTGTGTGTGTGTGTGTGTGTGTAGTACAGCCCTGCCCTCCTGCAAACAGTCAGCGACAGAGAAAAGAACAGAGGCAACACACCGACCAAAGTTTAATGCATCAAAGTAATAATTCTAATAATAAGAATAATAGTGATAAAGATTGTTCACGTGTCCCAAGTCTTGACTCCAAATACAGTCTCAAGTCTTGAGAACGAATCTCAGGCAACTCTGTGTGACGAAATGAAAATTCCTATGAATAAAAGGGAGGAGGTGCCAACAGGAGGGAACACTGAGAGTCTAAAGTCAGTGTGTTCAGACTCCATTTTAAACTGGACAGAGCAGTCAGAGGAAAACAGGTCGTCTGAGACACGGTGAGTGTTAATACTATAAAAATAATGATTACTGTCATTATTGATTAATCAGCTGATTTTTATTCTGAATCATTGTTTAGTCTGTTATAGGGGAGAGTGGGGTCGGACAGTGCCGCCTATTTAGCAAGGTAGAAAGAAACTGTGTCATCCACCATGCTCAGCCACACCCTGTTCACTTTCAACCTCAAAATGGAGACCGTCTGACTATTGCTCACAATTTATTCACAGTTTTGAAATCTACAGCATGTAAGTAAATGTTTTGGCTCTTTTGTCATTTGTCTTCTACCATACTGTTTTTAGTTGTGCCACATACAAAAACATATGGTTGGAAAGTTGATTTTCAGGCCTATCAGGATGTGATAGTGTTAGCTGAATGTTTGTTGGGAGCTAACACAGGGGTGTTCAGAGAATGTTGGGGGGCACTGGCAGCAATAATTTAGAACGGGAGTGTTTGTCTACGTCTGAGGGACATCTTCACAGCTCAGTTTTTAAGTGATTGGAGGTGGATATTTGTGCAGGCAAAATGAAGATTATGCTTGGTATGATTTTGTGGCTCTGGCTGTGTGCCTTCTTGGATGGCTGTTTGTTGAAGGATGAGGTTTCTCCGGAGAAAATCACGGCGTCGTCACTCACACACGTGAGTGCCTGCTGTCGCTCAAACCCCCAGCAAAGTCAGGGGGAGCTTTTAACTTGGACACACTGGATACCTATCCTGAATAAAAGAAGATCTGGACAAGAGGAAAGTCTAAAGCAAAGAAAAGAAGTTCGAGAGGAGGAGTGAAACAAAGACTAAGGAAACGTGGCTGCAAACATCACCTGCCAGTAATAACTCTCTCTAATGTCCGCTCCTTGAAGAACAAAATTAATGAACTGATGGCGAAAGTCCAATATGACAGTGATTTTAGACAAAGCAATCTCATCTCTCTCACTGAGAGCTGGCTAAAAGAGGGGATGATGAATCCAAACCTGTCCGGTTATACATTGATAAGGGCGGACAGGGACAATACACTATCACAGAAATCAGCTGGTGGTGGCATGTGTCTTTTTGTTGACAATCGATGGGCCACACAGTACACTGTTCGGGACAAAGTCTGCACCCGCGATTATGAAATTCTGGTGGTATCTTTTCAACCTGCATTACAACAGTATGTAGATTGCCCGACCCGTCTGACGTGCACCCTGGATAGGTGCTATGGTGATTTACCCGATGCCTACAAATCCATCTGTCGGCCAGTCCTGGGAAAGTCTGAATATAACGTCATACATCTGCTCCCATGTTACAGGGCGAAGCTGAAATGGGAAAAGCCAGTGACTAAGGATATACAGATATGGTCACATGATTGTAAGGAGGAACTGAGAGACTGTCAGGACAATACGGACTGGCAGATCTTCTTTGACTCCTGTGATAACCCACATGATTTGACAGACACTATCACATCTTATATAATGTTCTGTGCAAGTAACATTATCCGCACAAAAACAGTTAGAATATTTCCAAATAATAAGTTATAGATAACCAGTGACTTAAAGGATTGTATAAATCAGAAAAAACTTGCTTTTGTTAACGGGAATACAGAACTTGTCAAAGAGAAGACATGTGAATTAAGAGCTAAATTGAAAAAAGCAAAAATAGAGTATAAGGATAAAGTAGAGAAACACTTTTATTCTGGCAGTGCTAAAAGAGCATGGGAAGGTCTAAATCAAATGATGGGGAGGGAGCAGAAACATGCCCCTGTGATCCACCTTTCTCCATCCTGGGCTAATGAATTAAAATTATTTTATAGCCAATTTGATAAGACAAATTTCTGTACATGAAATTGCCTCAAGTCTGGCATGAATAAAACCCAAAAAGGCACCAGGGCCTGATGGCCTCAGAGGGAGAGTGTTAAAAGATTGAACTATACAATTAAAAGGAGTTTTGCCTAAACTATTTCAGCTCCTGCTTGACTTGTGTACAGTACCCCAAATTTGGAAAATGTCGAACATTGTGCTCATTCCTAAAAAGCCAGGGACTTCAGAATGAAATGATTATAGGCCCATTGCACTCACCTCCATTTTAGGTAAGTGCACGGAGAGAGTTTTAAGTAGACATATATGACAGCTTCTATATCAAACGGCCTTGACCACCTGCAGTTCGCATATAAAAGTAAGAGGGACACAGATGATGCGACTGTAACCTTGCTCAACACCATAACAAAACATTTACAAGTCCCCATACACTATGTTAGAATTATTTTTATTGATTTCACATCTGCTTTTAACACCATGCAAATACATATCCTTTTGCAGCGACTCATCAATCTAGGGGTTAACGGTGGCATTTTTCATTGGATCAGAGACTCCCTCTCTGACCGCCCACAAAGAATCCTTGTAAATGGTATTGTCTCACATGAGATCGTATTGAACACAGGAGCACCACAGGCTGCCATTTTTTCACCCTCTCTTTTCTCTGTGTACGCAAATGAGTTTAATATTGATCATGCATACTTTAGTTTATTTAAGTACGCAGATGATATGGTGTTGATTGCTCTCCTGCAGGAGGGCGATACTGAAAGAGAGAATTTGTATTTTAACTATGTGCTGAGCTTTCAAAATTGGTGTTCAACCAGCTCCTTAGAAATAAATGTCTCAAAGACCAAGGAGCTAATCTTACAAAATAACAAAAATATAATGAAGCCAATAATCATCAATGGACAAATGATCGAGATGGTTGATGATTTTGAATATTTGGGCACATACAATGACAGCAGTCTTACATTTCAAATAAATATGGATCACATTTTTAAAAAATGTTCACAATGCCTCCACCTGCTATGCAAGCTCAATACTTTTGGAGTGAGTCAAACTATTTTAGAAACAGTATATAAGAGCCTGGTGAAAAGTATCTTATCATTTAATATGATTATGTGGTATGGAAATCTGAACATTAAATGGAGAAACAAACTGCAGAAAATAGTGAGCGTGGCCTCCAAGATCTTAGGGAAGCCACAGAAGCAGCTGAGTAGTCTGTACGATGAATTAATCAGACGCAAAGCTGAGAAGATCATTAACGACCCTTCTCATCCTTTGTACAGTGAATTTGAACTTTTACCTTCAGGGAAGCATTACAGACTACCGATGGCAAGGAAAAATCTCTATAAAAAGTCCTTTGTCCCAGAAGCTGTCAATACAATAAATAAAACTAGAATGCGGTAGATATTTACCTTTACTCCTACTTTTTACTCTTGCTGAGGGTTTCTGTGACGGTATGTATTTTTTCTCACAGCGGTGACAGAGTGACGTATCACCCCGGTATGGCGGTGATACGTCACATTTCTGCATGTGCGGTGATGCGGTTATTGTCACAGCCCTATCCTAGACCTATGTGTTTTAATTTAACTCATATTGCGTTGTGTACTTTTATGAACTGGTATGTTTTGAATGTGGACAAATGTGTGTTGACTGTACACTGTATTGCAAAGGCAGTCATAATTTTTTCATATTTTATATCCTCTGCTCTGCAGTGTTTTATTATGTTTTGTGTGTCCTCTTGCCTTGAGACATGTTAATGGTGGAACCAAAGACAAATTTCCACTCTGTGGACAATAAAGTTTTCATATTCGTATTCGTATGCATAGATTTTGGTGGTCAAAGGTAGTAATGGCCAAATGAAGCCTCACGGACCACTGTCTTTATTCTCTGAAGCCAGTAGATGGTGCTGTCTGTTCAACAAAGGTTTGAAAGCACATTTCACTGCCATTCCTTCAGCCTTTATCTTTAAACCAAGAGCGCCATCTGGTGGGGTCAGAAAATAAAGAAAGTGGTTCATGAGGCTTCATTTGGCCATCACTAGTCAAAGGTCAAGGTCACTATGACCTTGCATCCGTCTCATTTTTATGAACACAAAATCTCAAGAAGGCCTTTAGGGACTTTACTCATATTTGGCACAAACGTTTACTTGGACTAGAGGATGAGCTAATTAAAATTTGGTGGTCAAAGCTCAAGGTCAATCTGGCAAAAGAAGTTTTTGTCATTCACTCAAGAATTCATTAGCTAATTATGAAAAAAAATTCATACAGGTGTCTCACAGGATAAAATGATGAAGTGATGACATTTTATATCAAAAAGGTCAAAGGTCAGCTTCACTGTGACATTATCATGTTCTGCATAAAACACTTCTCTGGTCATTATTAAACATAATATATCAGGAGCAGAAGGGGAGACATTTGGTCAGAGACTGAGTTGGTGACACTGATCTGGGCGATCTGATCTGACATTGGGCGGCAGTGGCTCAGTCCATAGGGACTTGGGTTGGGAACCGGAGGGTCGCCTGTTCGAGTCCCCGTCCGGACCAAAATATGGAGCGTGGACTGGTGGCTGGAGAGGTGCCAGTTCACCTCCTGGGCACTGTCGAGGTGCCCTTGAGCAAGGCACTGAACCCCCCAACCGCTCGGGGCGCATGACCAAGGGCAGCCCCCTCACTCTGAGATCTCTCCACTTTGTGCATGTATAGGTCCTGTTTGTGCATGTGTGTGTCTTTCGGACAAGCAAGAGTGAAAACATTGAATTTCCCCTCAGGGGGATTAATAAAAGTAAATAAACTAAACTAACTAAACTGATGTTGTAAGAGAAACTCAACTGGTGTTTGAAGGCATACAACTTTGAGACAGAAATTCTAGTTTTACAAATGTTTTCTTTCTCTCAAAGAAATGTGTGAACAAATGATGCTGTGAATATAAGGTGTTCAAATTTAGACTGATTTCTTTTTTCAATATAAATGATATGTTCTCACGGCTGGTGTCCCAACTGTCCCAGGGAGTCAGAACTTTGGGAAAATGCACTCCTTGTACATTTAACAAAACTGTGCCTTTCACGTTTGGGTTGGGCTCTAAACACCTGATCAATAGTTAGCAGACGCCTGTATCTGTTCAGAGATCAAATTATTTTCATTACTGTTCAAGTAGTCTGTGAGTAATCAAAGGTTATTTAGTGTCAATACAAAAGTGTCCCAACTGACCCCGCTCTCCCCTACTGTATGTCATAACAATACCCAGCCAATATGTAATCATGTCCTATAAATAAGAAGTTACTGACTTCATCACACTGTGTATGTGTGTTACAGTTCTCTCAGATTTGGGAAGATGGATGATTTGGAGGCAGACGGGGACAGATCAGAGTCTCCAGTGTCCAGCTGTCAGCTGTCTTTGAAGAGTGACCGCAGTAAACCTCTTTCTCTAAACTTCAGTAATGAAGCTGGACCCTCAGACACAAAGTGAGAGACTGTTTCTACTGTAAACTGACCTGAAGATGATTCTGTTTTTATTATTATCTGATAATCTGCACCACAACACTGTTTTTATAATGACATGAGGTATTGGTTTATTCAGTCATCGGGGATGTCCTGATCAAGTTATTTGGCCCTGATCAGAGTCCTTTAAATTTGGCTATCTACTGAAAATAGAATATAACAATAAAATGTGCAGTTAAATAGAACACAGTATATAAGAGCAGCACTGAGAGAAGAAATAAGAAGGAAACTAAATTACCTGTATATTTACAAGGGTGTTCAGATAAAGGAGACACGTAGCTGCTGGTGGGTAAAACACAGGCAGCGCCAACGATGATACTGTTTGAACCTGGTCTTTACAAGGACTAATAATATGTGTCAAACATTTGTTGTTTCCACAGACAGAGAGCAGAGTCTCCAGTGTCCAGCTGTCTGTCTATGAAGAGTGACTGGTCCAGAGAAGAGCCTCCAGACTTCAGTCATGAACCTGGACCCTCAGACAAAAAGTAAGAGACTGTTGAAAAACATGAGGCAGCTTTTTGCCTTTTGAAAGTCGTCTCACAGTGGAGCACAACATTACTCAGGAGGTTTTCATGAAGCTCCACCATGAGATATTTGAACTGCCTGTGACTGAGTGTGTGAATAAAGCAAATAATTTTCAGCACAGTTTGCAGGACGAGATCTAAATAATGTGTTCATCTCCACAGAGAGAAGAAGAGGAGTCATGTTTCTGTGGAGGAGCAGCCGTCCTGCTGTAGTTTGTGTCAGGACGTCCTGAAGGATCCAGTCTCTACCAGCTGTGGACACTGGTTCTGCAGACAGTGCATCAGCTCATACTGGGACCAGTCTGCTTCATCAGGAGACTCCTCCTGTCCCCAGTGTGGAGAAAGATCCAGAACAAGAGCTGGACTGCAGACAGCCAGTCAGACCAGCACTGTACAAAGTAAGACTGTACATCTGTCTGCTGATGTCATCATGTCTGAAAACAGGATTCTTCTTGGTTTATTTGTGTTGTAAAGTGTAGACATGAAAGATTTTATAAAACTAATGTATAAAACCTTCATTTGTTTGTGTTACTTGTTTTAATGTTGGTCATGAAAATAATCAGATTCCAGATTTATTTCTTTAGTCTGACATGTTTCCTTCTCTTTCAGCAGACAGTGGTCTGCAGGAGGTTTTAGATGAACATAAGATCAGTGTGAGGAGGAGATGTGAACGTGTGACTGAAGGAAGTGATGAAACAGGAAGTGAAACCCTCCTCAACAGGATCTACACTGAGCTCTACATCACAGAGGGACAGAGTGAAGAGGTTAATACCCAACATGAGGTGAAGCAGCTTGAGAGAGCTTCTAAGATGAAGACCCTCCATGAAACTCCAATCAAGTGTCAGCACATCTTTAAAGCCTTACCTGACCAACAGAAACACATCAGAGTGGTTCTGACCAACGGCGTCGCTGGCGTTGGAAAAACCTTCACAGTGCAGAAGTTCACTCTGGACTGGGCCGAGGGTTTGGAAAACCAAGATGTCAGTGTGGTGATTCTGCTTTCGTTCAGGGAGCTGAACTTGATCAGAGATGAGAAGTTGAGTCTTCTCACTCTGCTCCGTGTTTTCCATCCAACATTACAGAAGGTCACAGCAGAGGAGCTCGCTGTCTGTAAAGTTCTGTTCATCTTTGACGGCCTGGATGAAAGCAGACTGTCTCTGGATTTCCACAACAATGAGGTTGTGACTGATGTCACACAGAAGTCATCAGTCAACGTGCTGTTGACAAACCTCATGGAGGGGAAGCTGCTTCCCTCGGCTCTGGTCTGGATAACTTCCCGACCTGCAGCAGCCAATCAGATCCCTCCTGCATGTGTTGACAGGGTAACAGAAGTACGAGGCTTCACTGACGCCCAGAAGGAGGAGTACTTCAGGAGGAGAGTCAGTGATGAAGAGCGGTCCAGCAGAATCATCTCACACATGAAGACATCCAGGAGCCTCCACATCATGTGTCTAATCCCAGTCTTCTGCTGGATCACTGCTACAGTTCTGGATCACATGTTGACTACAGAGCAGAGAGGAGAGCTGCCCAAGACCCTGACTGACCTGTACTCACACTTCCTGCTGGTTCAGACAAAGAGGAAGAAGCACAAGTATGATGAGGGACATGAGACCAGTCCACAGGAGCTGACGGAGGCTGACAGGGACGTTCTTCTGAAGCTGGGGAGGCTGGCGTTTGAACATCTGGAGAAAGGAAACATCATGTTCTACCAAGAAGACCTGGAGCGCTGTGGTCTTGATGTCACAGAGGCCTCGGTGTACTCAGGAGTTTGTACAGAGATCTTCAAAAGAGAGTCTGTGATCTTCCAGAAAACAGTCTACTGCTTCGTTCATCTGAGCGTTCAGGAGTTTCTGGCTGCAGTCTACCTGTTCCACTGTTTCACCAACAGGAACACAAAGGTACTGGAGGACTTCCTGGGGACAGACGAGGATAATTACAGATCCCTGGATGTCTTCTTACAGAGAGCCATGAAGAAATCCCTCCAAAGTAAAAATGGTCACCTGGATCTGTTTGTCCGCTTCCTTCATGGCCTCTCTCTGGAGTCCAACCAGACACTGTTAGGAGGCCTTTTGGGTCGGACAGACAACAGTCCAGAAATCATCCAGAGAGCCATCAACAACCTGAAGAAGATGAACACAAACAAGATCTCTCCTGACAGAAGCATCAACATCTTCCACTGTCTGCTGGAGATGAACGACCTCTCAGTACATCAGGAGATCCAAGAGTTCCTGAAGTCAGAGAACAGATCAGAGAAGGAACTCTCAGAGATCCACTGCTCAGCTCTGGCCTACATGCTGCAGATGTCAGAGGAGGTTCTGGATGAGTTGGACCTGAACAAATACAACACAACAGACGCTGGACGACTGAGACTGATTCCAGCTGTGAGGAACTGCAGAAAGGCTGGGTAAGTCCAGATGTGATTAACATCATAAATCATTGTAGATTAGTAGTTTAATTCTTCAAATATACACACTGTGAAATTCTTATTATTCATAAAATGTTCAAATGATGTGTCTGTTGTATTTTGTCACAGATGTTCTTGAGCTGTTTCAAATGCTGTGAGTGCAAAACATGTAGATGTTTCAGTTGGTTGTGTTTATAGCTGTTGAGTTCATCAACACAGTTTTTCTATTTATTTCTAATCATTGTTCCAGTTGACAGTTTTTCACCTTTATGTGATGGAGGCGCCATGTGAACCTGATAAAACAAATGATGGACTTCAGAGGTTGTTGTTGAGGTTTTATCACAGCAGCATTTCATCACAGTATGGCAGTATTTGATGGTTCTGAGTGAAAGCAGTAAAGTTATTACTCCATAAACAGATTGTGTAAGGTGTTTTATAGAATCAGACATGCAGATAATACCTGAGTTTATTCACCACTATGCTTAAACATTTAAAATAAGATCTGTATCATTTGCCAAAGGAGATTTCTGAAGTCCTAAAAACTGCTTTTATCCAGTTGTTGCTATCTCTTTTTTCATGCCTCGGCGCCGGCGACAGTCGTGGCCAGAGGCATCATGTTTTTGGGTTGTCAGTCTGTCCACGACATCTCAAGAACACCTTGAGAGGATTTCTTTAAATTTGGCACAAACGTCCAGTTGGACTTAAGAATGAACTGATTAGATTTCGGTGGTCAAAGGTCAAGATCACTGTGACCTCACAAAATATGTTTTTGGCCATAACTCAAGAATTCATTCACTAATTATGACAAAACTTCACACTAATGTCTAACAGGATAAAATAATGAAGTGATGAGATTTTATATCCAAAAGGTCAAAGGTCAACTTCACTGTGACATCATCATGTTCTGCATAAAACACTTCTCTGGTCATTATTAAACGTCATATCTCAGGAACAGAAGGGGAGACATTTGGTCAGAGACTGAGTTGGTGACACTGATCTTGAAACTGTGCTGATTGTATAGATCTTCTGTGCTGTCGGGTTGAAGATGTGTGTGAAGCGTCTGTGTTTTAGAATAAGTAGCTTCTTTGCAGCAACATCCATATTTGAATCATTGTCTACTGTCATGGACACATATGAGTCTGGACAGACATGGATGTAAACTGTAAGTGTAACTTGACTGGTGAAGCATACGACCACGAGGCAGTAATTCTGGTCATGAATCAGCTTTTAATTAGTTTGAATTCTTTGTGTTCTTTTTTTATTCTTAACTATTTTCAGTCCATCAAAACAGGATATTTCAAACTGTTTTATCATCAAATCCATAAAGTAAATATAAAGTGTCTCTTTGACAATAACAGATTTTGTAATATATGTGTCATGTCAGATTTACTGGGTGTGGACTCTCAGAGACTCACTGTGAAGTCGTGGCCTCAGCTCTGAAGTCCAACCCCTCCCATCTGAGAGAGCTGGACCTGAGCTACAACACCCTGCAGGATTCAGAAGTGAAGCAGCTGTGTGCTGGACTGGAGAGTCCAAACTGTAGACTGGAGACTCTGAGGTCAGTTCACTTGCTTATGTAGGTGTTTGTTTTTGGATATATATAATATAAATCCTTGACTGAGGTTATAAAGCTTTCAGTGTTTTCAGTCATCAATTTAAGATTCCTGAGGTTCTGAGGTTTCTTTGTTTTCATGTTAACGTCACATAATCATTTGAAGTCACAGACCTTTAGACTGCAACAATAAGCAAATAAATAGTCTGCACTGGAAACATCTTGGACTTTAAGGACAGGTTGATATTCTTTCACACTCACACGCCCATTAGGACTGCACCATTAATGATCTGGATTCATACGTCTATGTGATCTCATTTCTAAATGACAAGCATTCACTGGCTCCTGTTTCCCTATGCATCCATGTGTTGACTGATGTGCTGTGGAACAATCCCAGTTGCTATCAAGTGTTTCCTCTATCAGTGGGATCCCCCACCCCCCTGAAAGAAAGCAAATATTTTATTGATGTTATTTACCTTGTTTATGTGCACTGCTTTGATTTGAGCTCAGTGTGAGAGTCTTTACTGTGTTTTCCTGTCGCTGGGCTGCGTTTCTCTCCCTCCTCCTCGACCCACACAGGTGACGTTACTTGAGTTAACAGCCTCTGGTTACATCACTGTAAGTGGAATAAAATCTTCCAAACGTGTCATTTCTTATTGTAATCCACCTAAAAGCAAAGACAGACACATGTGGACTCCAAACTAGTGGAGCTGAAGCTGACAGGCTCCGCCCCCTCCAACAAGCGTGTGTTGAGGCTCAACTGGTGTCTGTGCAGCAGCCCAGAGTTTTCAAAGTGTCTGTGTGTTCACAAGTTTTGTATCTTTGAACTGAATCTCTGTGTTTGAAGTTTAGTTTTTCTCCTGCGTTGCTGTTTGTACTTTCAGATATCTGCCTTATTTTACCGTTTCATGTTCGCTGTCAGACGGATAAGATTCGTATGAAGTCACTGCAGATGAAAAGCCAATATTTTCTGCTTTGGCTGCTTCACAATAAAAGCTAAACAAAGCTAAAATAACAAAACAACATGGGACTTTTATTGTGAAGAATTTATAGGAAATGACACGTCCACTGTTTTACAGCCGCATAACTCAAGACAAGCGTCATATAATGGTCAGTGTGTGTTATTTATTCTAAAGCTGAAACTTTAAATTCTATGTTTTATGCCTCTGTGCCGGAGATAGCCGTGACTGGAGACATTATGTTTTCAGGTTGTCCGTCCGTCTGTCCGTCCCATTTTAGTGAAAATGATTTCTCAAGAAAGCCGCAAGGGGATTTTTTCAAGTTTTGCACAAATGTTTAGTTCAACTCAACAATGAACGGATTAGATTTTGGTGGTCAGAGATTAAAGGTCAAGATCATGGGGCGTCGGTGGATTAGTGGATAGAGCAGGCGCCCCATGTACAAGGCTGTTGCTGCAGCGGCCTAGGTTTGACTCCAGCCTGTGGCCCTTTGTTGCATGTCACTCCCTCTTTCATGCTTGACTGTCCGATCAATTAAAGGCCTCATATTTTGTGTGACATTTATGACTGTATGCTCAATGATCTCTTGTGGTTGATAGGAAACTTTGGTCTCATTTTAAAATGGAGCATCTACAGATTAATTCCATACATAATGTCTTATGATCCACTAAAGTTTGGCACAATACGAGATGATTTAGTCCTTGTTTTGTTATCTTAGTCAGGAGCAGACATGGGGGAAAGTCACACATGTGCAAGTCACAAGCAAGTCTCAAGTTAGCTGTGGTGGGAATCAAGCAAGTCAAGTCCCTGCTATAAGTCAAGCAAGTCAAAAGTCAAGTCATATGTCACATACAGCAAACATCTCCTGATGATCCGCTAGCTACATGTCCTCTGAATATGCTGTGAAAAAGTCCCGTCTCTGTAGGCAGCCCAGGCTCCGCAAATGGCAACAAAAACATTTGGGTCCAGGCTGCACCAACCAGCCAGCGCGAGACCAGCGAAAGCAAGCACACACATGTGAACGCGGTGCCCAGAGAGGCAGTTAGAGCTACAGGACACAATGAGGCTAAAAACAGAGCTCAAACAGGACAGGACACTAGGAGCAAAAAAGGTTAGCAGCACAGAAAGAAATTTAGGAGCGCAGAAAGAAATTTGGGAGGGCAGTGAAAATTAAAATAAACAGTTAAAATAAACACATTTAATAGGAAAACAACAAAATACAAAGGCTCCTCTGGAGCCACCCTCTCCTCCATCATGTGTGTGGTAAGGGCCCAGCACACACACACACACGCACAGGCTACACTGGGCCTACTGCTCTACTATTAGACACAAAGGATGTCTTTAGTCCACTTGCTTTTGTAGTTGGGTCGCCTGGCACGTTTAGCTGAGTTCATCAGATGAACCCAAGTTTTAAAAATCTAATTCATGGTGAAGGGTCATGCATTTTCCGCCAGTCACTTCAAAAAGCTCAAGGAAAAATATTCGTGGCTACATGGGGGATCAAAATAAAATAAAAACATAAAATAAACATCAACCAGCCACCCTCCTCCTCTGATAAGTTAAGAACAGTCCCTTCAGTGCATAAACCAGACACATCATGCAGCCCGGTTGGTATATTTTAGTCCATTCCCTAATAGACCCACAGTGGGCTGGGTGCTAACAGTCACTGTGGAGCACTGACAAACACTGAAAATGGTAGAAGTGTCTGCCGCCAGCTGGCTGTCTAACCTTGGGCTGCATTTTGTAGTTAAGGCCTGTAAGCTGACGTCCCTCCAGGTGAGCTGATAAAGGAGGCTCCGGTGATACGGTGAGGTTTGTGAACCGTTACCTGCCACAAAGAGAGAAATGTGAACGGCTCATTTCTCCTCTGACACGTCACAAACCTGTGTGCCGCCAAGGCTCGGCTGTTCAGGTACTAAACTAAAAATCATATGTTAAAAAATATAAATATATAAATAAATAACACAATAAAATGAAAAGTAAATAAAAGCACTAAAATACATAAAACACAAGGGAACCAACCAGTGATTCAGAAACAATAGAAGACAAACAAGGACAGAGACCACACAACTCTCGTGCTGGATTAAAAGCCAAGGAATAAAAGTTTTAAGATGGGATTTAAAAGTTTCTAGGGTGGGGGCCATTTTGACATGGGGGGTAGCTCATTCCATAATTTAGGAGCTACCACTGAAAAGGCACGGTCGCCCCTAATTTTTTTGTCTGGTTTTCAGGACGACAAGACACAGCTGATCGGCAGACCTCACTGCTCTTGAGGGGGTGTAGACATGTATGAGGTCCGCAATGTACTGAGGTGCCAACCCATTTTACGACTTAAAAACAAACAGTAAAATCTTAAAATTAATTCTAAAATGAACAGTGAGCCAGTGGAGGAAGGCGAGGACGGGAATAATGTGGTCATGCTTGCAAGTTCCTGCTAAAAGACGAGCTACTGCATTTTGGACGAGCTGTAATCATGTGAGGGCGGCCTGGTCAATGCCAGTGTAAAGTGTGTTACAGTCGTCCAAACGGGTCGAGATAAAAGCATGAATCAAGCGCTCACTATCATTAAAAGATATTGAGCATGTTAATCTGTGTTGATATGAATAGGTGAATGAATGTTGTGGAGACATTTGGATGATGTCTGTAGAAGGCTGACATCATGATGATCCACAATAACACAATGACAAAGTCACTCTACTCAGTTTAGGGCAAAGCTCATTGATCAGGACATAGTAATGTTGAGCTACACATTTAACACCTGAACACATCTGATTGTTTTATTAATGATTTTTATCTACATCATTTATTCTTTATTCAGACTGAGTGGCTGCAGGTTGTCAGAGATCAGCTGTGTTTCACTGGCCTCAGCTCTGAAGTCCAACCCCTCCCATCTGAGAGAGCTGGAGCTGAGCTACAACAACCTGCAGGATTCAGGAGTGAAGCAGCTGTGTGATTTTCTGGAGAGTCCACACTGTAAACTGGAGACTCTGAGGTCAGACACCATTTTTTACTCCTGTGCTGAGATTATTATGATGTGAAAGTTGTGTTGACAATCAACTGCAGACATCAAGCTGATATTATACTGATCCACAATGACGTCTATTTGTCTTGTTCAGTGGTTTAATCCATTGACTGTGGCAGAGCAATGTGGAGCTAAAACCTTAAAGATAAGCTGTTTTCTTACTTTCTTCTTATTTTCTGTGTTTGGGAAGTTTCAGGGCGTGTACCCCCACAGCGCTCAGGTGAGCTCAGGGCTTTATAAAAAGGTGGTGACCAGATGCCAGACTGTAAGCAGTAGGAATCAAAGAGATACAACACTGAAAGAAATGCAAATTTAGCAAGAAGAAATGCCAAACAAGAATGAATCTGGGGTTGGCTTTTACCTTCACCTGAGCTGTTGAACGTGTTTACAAACGGTAACCAGCAATCAACAATACTGCATAACATAACTTTAATTTCAGCAGAAAAATGACTGGATTATTCACTCCTAACCTGTAAACCAGGGGTGTCAAACGTACTGCCCGTGGGCTGAAACCGACACACCAGAGGAGCTCATCTGGTTCTCCAGCTGGCTGAATGAAAGAGACAATCATACCTTCAATATTCTTGTCAGCTAATGTCAACAGCTGTTTATATCCCATCATAATATTCTTACAGGGTTTTATTTGATACTTAATGCAATAGTTGCTCTTTATAAGTCCCAACATTACATTTGTTCAGATTATGTTAGAAAGTACAGCTGGTCTCAAGAAATGTAACAGCCACCTCTCTATTGGTTGAAACTCTAAACCAGCACAAAAATGACAATTAGCAACATAAGCCACCATGTTCTGAACAGACACATTATAAACACTGTGACTTTGTATTAATACACAGTCACATTTGCATTCTGGAGCATATAGGCCTAACAGAAAACACAATACTTCTAAATAAACACTAGATCAGCACTAGACAGGCATGATGGGAAATGAGGGCGCTCCCATTGTTTCTAGACTCTCAGCACCGACACCAAGGTAGGCATCACAGTTAAGAAGGTGGAGCAGAGTCAGGCGGTGTGCTCACAGTAATAGTTGCAAACTATGAGGTACATTGCTGAAAAGTTAAACACTGGTTAAGTTTTATTAAAAGTCAAATATAATCCTGCCGCTGACAGCTGTCATGTTACTCATGTTTATCATATCTGTTTGCAGTGTTAGCGAGGTAGCTACCCAGCTACAGCTAGTCAGTACAGTTGGTAATGTAGCAGAGTGAACTACAGTCAAGCTGGCAGTCACTCTAATCTCCATGGTGACATCAGCTAATGCTACAACTGTAGTGCATCCATGTACTGACATTAATATGTGTTACATTGAATAATGCCTTCAAACAGCCCAGATGGAGCTGATGGGGGAGCTAGTGACAGACTTAGCAAAGTTAGCAGAATGATGACTTTTGATTTTCAAATTAAGGTGTTATAAAATACATAACATTATAGACATACAATGAATTGAATTATATTCAGAATAAGAGTCAAATTAATTACCAGTGTCCCTTATAAATTAAAAAGTAAATACCACTAACTTGTGAGGGAAATGTCTTTATTCTTTGATTTTTGTGTTGCTGGAAATGAAAATGAAAAAGATTATTCCTGATGTTGAGGACATGTCTGACAACATACAGACACAGAACTCAAGTATTTTTACTGTATCAGTATTTTGAGATATTCCAGAGTAAAAGTCCCACATTTCTACCTTGAAAATCTAAACAACTGGAAGTGCCATCAAAAACAAAGAAAAAGAAGAAAAGTTGCTCTATAATTCCTGACAATATCTGAAATACTTGTGTTCAGGACATTTCACACGACACCATTCCTGATAATCAAGCATCTCTACTGCATCAAAGTGTATTAACAGCCCTGCTTTAAACACTTGATTTCAACTTAAATTTACCCTGATGATTCTTTAAATAAGTGATTTGTGTTTGGCTGCACAACATGAGTTAGTGATGATGGAGCCACTGGTGGAGCTGGCAGAGTTTAAGAGGTGAAGTCACTACATCTTTATTGAAGTAGCAGCACATTGTCAATGATATTTATGAGAGCTGTTTTTCACTTTTTGTATTTTCCAGTCTTTAACCTGCATCCTGTTGGGATCAGCACAATAACACAATGACAAAGTCACTCTACTCAGTTTAGGGCAAAGCTCATTGATCAGGACATAGTAATGTTGAGCTACACATTTAACACCTGAACACATCTGATTGTTTTATTAATGATTTTTATCTACATCATTTATTCTTTATTCAGACTGAGTGACTGCAGATTGTCAGAGATCGACTGTGTTTCTCTGGCCTCAGCTCTGAAGTCCAACCCCTCCCATCTGAGAGAGCTGGACCTGAGTGGAAACAACAAGCTGCAGGATTCAGGAGTGAAGCAGCTGTGTGATTTTCTGGAGAGTCCACACTGTAAACTGGAGACTCTGAGGTCAGACACCATTTTTTACTCCTGTGCTGAGATTATTATGATGTGAAAGTTGTGTTGACACTAAACTGCAGACATCAGGCTGATATTATACTGATCCACAATGAAGTCTATATGACTTGTTCAGTGGTTTAATCCATTGACTGTGACAGAGCAATGTGGAGCTAAAAACTTAAAGATAAACTCTGAAGGATCTTCCTTAAAAACAATGTATAGACTCATACAGAAATAATCCATCTCAATCATCACTTATGAGCCACTCTCAGTGTGTGCTGGTGTATTTATCTGCAGAGACTCTGCCCTCTGCCTGTGTTTTCTTACTTGGGGACCAGATGCCAGACTGTAAGCAGCAGGAATCAAAGAGATACAACACTGAAAGAAATGCAAATTTAGCAAGAAGAAATGCCAAACAAGAATGAATCTGGGGTTGGCTTTTACCTTCACCGGAGCTGTTGAACATGTTTACAAACGGTAACCAACAATCCTGCATAACATAACTTTAATTTCAGCAGAAAAATAACTGGATTATCTGTAGAAGGCTGACATCATGATGATCCACAATAACTCAATGACAAAGTCACTCTACTCAGTTTAGGGCAAATTTCATTGATCAGGATATAGTAATGTTGAGCTACACATTTAACACCTGAACACATCTGATTGTTTTATTAATGATTTTTATCCACATCATTTATTCTTTATTCAGACTGTGGGGCTGCAGTTTGTCAGAGATCAGCTGTGTTTC